TTCACAGATATCCAAAAAAAAGATATATTCCACATGGAATAAACGTTCACTCAAATTCAAAAAACAACCCGTGAGTGAACCATTCTTTCTTTCGCAACGCTAATTTAATAAAATACAAAAATCGCGAGCGGTGCTTATTATTCGCAAAATGAACCACGCAGGGTTCCTTCATTAATTATATCGCGTGCACCCATATTAAATAATAGGCAACACTAATTTTAACAATAATATCGAGCTCTTCGAGTCCTTGTAGTCCAGCTGCGTCGTGATGATCTTGGAGCAGTGGCCAGCAATCAGATTTTTGGCATTGAATCGCAACACTAAATAAAAAACGCGATGAATCAAAATAGCAACACTAATTTATGATAGAAAAATTCCAAACGCGATTTCTAACAGTAAAAGCAACCGCGAATGGTGGTTATTCGCAACACTACCCTGAAAAGCAAACGCGAAAAATAGTAACTCGCAACGCTAAGAGCAAACCGATCGGTGCATTCGCGACACTATTCTTAAATAACAATAAAAGCAATCGCGTATAGAATTCGCAACGCTAACCTGAAAAGGAAACGCGAAAAATAGGAATTCGCAACTCTACGAGCAAACGCGATTATTGTACATTCGCAACTCTATCTTTAATGGAAATATATTCATGTTTCGCAACGCTAATGCAAATCGCGTTTTGCCAAAAAATGCTGGAGCTGGAGATGGCGTCTTCCGTTGTAGATACAAATAAACATGCATGAAATAAACTAACTACTGCAAGCTACTATTAACTAGAGTGGCATTGGGATGAAGTTAGACATTTTATATTTCGCAACGCTAAGGGGCAAACAACGCGATAAATCAACAATCGCAACGCTAATTTATAATAGAAAAATTCCAAACGCGATTTATAGCAATAAAAGCAATCGCGAATGGTAATTATTCGCAACACTACCCTGAAAAGCAAACGCGAAAAATAGTGATTCGCTACTCTAACAGCAATCGCGTTTACTAATAATTCGAAACGCTATTTTTAAAGCAAACGCCCGGTTCCTAGGTTTGCACAAAGCCAATCGCGAATCGTATTTATTCGCAACGCTAATATTTCAACGCGATAAATATTATATTCGCAACTCTACGAGCAAACGCGAACATTGTATATTATTCGCAACTCTAACTTTAATCAGGGGCTATTGGTACATGTACGTACACATGTACTGGCCACAAAATTAACTACTTCTATTACTACAGTTAGGATAGAATTTTGGCATAGAAAATATCGCAACTCTAAAGAAAAAATCGCAACGCTAATTTATAGTATGAAAATTGCAAACGCGGTTGATGTCCATTATATGTATAAAAGAGTAAAAAAAGCAACGCGAATCGTGATTGTTCGCAACGCTACCCTGAAAAGGAAACGCGAAAAATGGTAATTCGCAACTCTACGAGCAATCTCGTTTATCAATAATTCGCAACGCTATTTTTAAAGCAAACTCCCGGTACCTAAGTTTGCATGAAAACAATCGCGAATGGTAATTATTCGCAACGCTACCCTGAAAAGGAAACGCGAAAAATAACAATTCGCAACTCTAAAAGCAAACGCGATTTTATTAGATATTCGCAACTCTATGTATATCATAACCGCGAGTTGCCTTGATGGCTGGGCATGTATGGTGCAATCATGTACCAACAGGTACATGCATACGTGAACCAGCCAGAAAAATAAACTAACTACAACTACAGACGAGTTAAGTGACAAAGTAGTAGGAATGACTTTCCATTTTCATCCGAGGATGAAGATGAAAAGCCATTTGTTGTAGCCCACTCTTGAGACAGTTTGTCAGGGCCTCTTCGGCTCATTGAGAGCCTTTTCTTTCTTCGGCGGTCCTGCCGATGCCTGTAACTTACGAAAGACCGGGCTCGAGATTTCGTGCAATACGTAGTCTTCCAACAATATACGAATTGTTGCAAGAGCATACGTGGTCATCTCGAGGGGGACGAACGTTTCGAAAGGGACCTGATCACGACCGCGAGCGCGAGAGAGCGACTTTAAGAGTCGCGCGATTCGAGGAGTCGAAAATAAAGCCGAAACAAACAGCACAAGTGCACCGTTTGAATCAGCAAAATTTCTACTCTCGAGATCGTAACTACAGGAACAGAACTGCCACGCGAAAACGCGCCTACCCGAATTACTAATGTGGACAGTCCTGCCCTGACCCTACCTACTTAGATTAAGCACACACACACCAGAGAAAGTTACCTACCTACCTAACCCTATATTTAAAAAGATGCAAAACTCAGTCTCTCAAACAAACACTCCACGGTTCTCATTCGGAATGTCCGGGCGCGACCTAAACTAGAGAGGACTCCCCGGGGTTCCTCCGACACCCGGACACAACCTCATTCACACTCTAATTGTGTACGTACCAGTTTTTGCAGTGGACTGACAAAGCTAGTGCCCATTGCGTACTTTTATTATTTATGTAAAACATTTTAATATATCTGATATAGTCTTTATTAAAATATACTCTATATATGATCATATAAGATTGAAAAGCTAATGCATTATGCATTTTAAAATATTATTGACGTATATGCAATTACGACCAATTGTCAAGTAAATAATAACTATAAGTTTAATATTATTTGTTAAAAAATCTGAATTGTAATAAACTTTTGAAACGATGCACTTCCACATCCTAACCACAAACACACATATGTGGACAGTACATCGTGCACGATACACTAGCATTGTCAGTCGCACGGATAAATTATTATCATAAATGTTACGAACTAAGTCATCGTGCCCCGTTGCCTTCGCTCGTGCAAATAACACTTGGGCATGTGCACGAACTTAGGCAACGAACACGGAAAAGTATCCTGAAAATCCTGACTAGAAAATCTGGTTATTAATAATCAACTAAACGGTATCTATTCTCAATTGAAATGACTCGACTTGTTATATGTGATATATCAGCAACAGAGTACGTTAATATTGAAAAATATTATTAATCAAACAAAATTTGTGACTGAGAATTAATTTAATTATTGAATTATTATTCAAAATATTCAATTAACCTTGGTCGATTCTGTCGTCAAAGTAAATTTTTTAAATAATAAAATTAACATGCATGTTCCTTTGAGTTGAAAATCGACCAGTCGCGAAACGCCTTCTTGCACGTGAAATACATCATATGATGTATTAATTGATAAAACGAATATTTAATAATTATATTAACGATGTAAGATATTTTACTAAATCGTATGATTAATATAATGTTTTCACATTATATTAATTTATATTCTACTCAATTGTATAATTCGTATAAAGTTAATAAAAATATTTCATATATTTTATCAAAATTGTGTAATAATCATATTGTATAATATTTATTGATAACATTGAAAAACGCGAGTGCAAGAAGACCCTAGCCTGCACTAAAAAAATATAAGTCATGGGTCACTTAACTCGTCAAAAATACTAAGTATACAACTGGTCACCCGTGTTGATTCGGATCTTTCATCCTACAACATGGTTGGGGACCAGAGGAACACAAATAGCATGCAACTCACCAATGATGATCTTGTACCTCTGGGATGACTGCATGATGATGATGCTGCTGCCCAGTGGAAGTCATCAAAGCCCCCTGCATGCTCCTGCTATAAAGAATAAGAAAGCAATTATAATCTATTGTTAAAATTACAGAGATTTTTAATTAAAAATTTCAAAGTACAAATTTATACTTACGTTGTTCGGTCATGGTCCACCGCCCGATACCCCCCGGGTACTGCTGCTGGTTTTCAGGATCACGTTCAGAGACTGAAAGAAAACTGTCAGAAAATAATTAGAATTTATTGTTAAAATTGTAGAGATTTTTAATTAAAAATTTGAAAGTATAAACTTATACTTACATTGTTCGCTCGTGGAGCACCGTCAAATAATCCTCTTCGGTGATGCACTGACTCTAATTCCGGTAACGAGGAGTTTAAATTTCAAATTAAAAAAATAATCAAATTTATTAGATATTAAATTCAATTGCCGCGACCGAAGATTCAAATCGGCGAACAAATGACTCTATTCTCGCGATTCAGAAAACAAGGAGAGCCACGATGCTCTGTAAATAATTTTAAACTGCGTAAGAAACACTGCTTCTATTCTCGCGTTTGCCTAGCATCGTAAACGACAACGTACGTTGGGGTCACTTTGCCCCGAGAAACAAACTTGTTGCTACGCACAAACACTGAATCTACCGGCCGCATTGCACGCGGCCAACAAATTTCCTGGAAAAAGAAGGCTGGAAAGAAAAGGACAGGAGAGAATAAATACAACGAGCACACCTGTGCTTCTACGTGTTTTCCTTTTTCTTCAATGTTCGTCAACAGAAATACTGCTTTATTTAGAACTGCTATACAAGTTGTTACGACTAACCGTGAAAGGTTAATGCTACGAAGGCGAAATATTCACAAACGATAAAATATTATTCACGAAAATAATTACTTTACGGTAATTATATCGCCAATTTTCACAGTTAGAGTTGTTGGAATGATCATATTTATTTTATCGATCGTTTGAATATATCGTAATTTTTATAAATATTCCAAAACTTGCAAAAATTAAAGTTCGTTAATTATTTATGCTTTAATAGCATATTCCAACTACGTTTTCTTAAACTTGCGTAAAAAATGTATGCAAATTACAATTACAATAATTCATAAAGACAGATTTATAAACAATCACTTTAACAAATAATACTCGCGACCAGAATACAGTTAAATATAAACCATTCCAATTTACTCTTAATGTCTACCGTTAGCCATTCCTAAGTATCACACTATCGAAAGTACTTTGATACACATATCGAAAAAGGTAAAAAGTTCATTAACCATTTTCATCATTCATCTTAACACAGACTGATTATAAAATTATGTATCAACGAATTAATAAACAGATAAAAATACATAAATATTAATATGTATGTTAATTTTTCTTGTAATAGGTTAAACGTTACCAATATACCCTTCGAATGTCGAGTTATCTGCCATCTACCATGGTAACGTCTACGCGCCAATATTATAATAGGCGGAAGTCGAGTTATCTGCCATCTATGGTGTCGTTTACGCGCCAATTCCATGGCGTCGTATTCCAATCAAAGACTGCCACAGAAATAAAATACAAAGTAAAGTCAAATGTATTGCAGTAAACATATCTAATCATAATTAAGCAATAATTATATAATAAGTAATTTCGTTTAAGGAAATATAATGAATCGATGCCGATTAAATATCAAAGAAAACGCGAGAAACTCGATTCAATTTTTCTCACAATTCCGACTCAATTTGTAGTAAAAACGTATTAATATTATTAGAAAAGTACCATTAGAAAGTAAATCCGAGTAGTAATAACGAGAAAATATCGAAAGGTTGGAAATACGTACGATTACGTTGGTTACGAAACGCCGGCAGGTTTAGACATGTCTCGACAGGTCTGAACATGTCCAGACATGTCTCGACACGTCTTACTGTTTCAACTAACGCAGCACGAATGTCGTTCACGAATTGGTGGCGAGCTCTGCTGTCTGAGTTAGGAAGTAATTCCTTAACTTTGAATTCCAATGAAAGACTGTAACAGAAACAAAATGAAAATGCGTTAAAGTATATGAACAATTGTTACAGTTAAGTAATGATTAAATCCTAATCGTATCGTAACAGATTGTAATTAAAACGCGAGTAGTTATAATGAGAAATTATCAGCAGGTTAGAAATACCCACCTCGGTCGCGAAACAAATCTAGACGTCGCGATAAATCTTACTGCGTTAATTGTTCGACGACGAGTGACGATCTCTCGCTGCGCTCGGTAACGCTCGGGAGTTAGGTAGCGGGAAGGGGGGGAAGCTCCGACGTCTCACGAGCGTTACCGATCTCGGGCCCAGCGAGAGAGCGTAGTCTATTTACTTTAAAACCATATTGATGGATGACGATATAATATGTAAATTATGTATGTATTTTCTTACATTACAGAGATGCCAGACGGAGCCCCGGGTGCACCGACGACACCTTATTCCACTTTCTCACACTATGCCAGATCACTCGTACGTGTGTTCGTGAAGTTTCGGAAAGTCGACAAAGGCAAACTGACGCATGCTCTCTTTCTCGATTCTCCGAAACTGTCCGAAGTAATTTCGGGCCGTCTCGTGGGAGTTGAGAGAGAAAGGCTCACATTTACTTTCTCGTAACGTACATAGCAATCATATGAAAAAGTTAAATGAAACTAACAATTTTTCGATCTATTATATTTGGCACGTCATCTACCGCAATTACACCATAGACGACGTACAGAAATACGAGAAAGGCCATACTCCACTATAATACGTTCGATGGAACTTTTTGTTCCACGATTCTAGGATCCCTTTTTCACTTCGTGCCATAACTAACGTTATCAATAAAATCAAATAAGAATTTCGTGCCATTTCTGGTAATAATTAAAACAGTTTCATAAAATATTCTGTCTATGGACCTAAGAACGGTACCTAGTTTAAAGGGGTAAAAAGGGAGTCCCCTAGATTTGTTTAAATGGAGGGTGGATAACGGGTTTCCATGTAACAAAAATTAGTGGAACTCTACGTACATAGGAATTGTAACTGTGATGAGTCGTCACAATTTGAAAATCCACGCAATCATAGTTGAAAAAAAGATTTTAAATCGACCGTGTGTTGGATCTGGTATCTGGGAACATTAAACCGCAGTCTGGACAACTGTTTACGTGTTCCGAATAAATTGCATCGCGTCGTTGCAGTGCAGAAGTTTTGGGTATTGAATTTGTGATCCTCTTGGATGCAGCAAGCATATTTCGAGATGTCAACCGGTTGATATTGCTTCACAAATTACGTCAACGTTGGTACATTTTGTTACAAACATCTTTATAATTCGAAGATACGATGGATATAGAACTTGTTGAAAAATTCATAGAAGTGACGGGTAAGCATTGCTGTAACGAGACGTAGGTTAATACCGTTAAATCAAGGAGGAAAATTTCGCCCTATTTTACGTAAATTTATTATTTGTTCGATGCAACTTGTTTTCATCGTATACTATTGTTATTATATTTTTCTAATAATGGATGCACATGCTATTATTATTATTTAGTAAGTAATAAAGCTTTTGTGCGTTAACGATTGCGACACGATTATTCTTTATTAGGAGAGAGTGCAGCAATGGCTCGTCTGTATTTATCAGTAACTGATGGCAATGTGGAAGCTGCAATAAGCTTAATGTTTGAAAGAGGTCAAGTACCTGAAGAAGAACATGTAAACCCTGAACCAGAAGTGAGACCTCCTATCTTACCTACACAAGAAATATTGGTACCAGCTGATCCAGTCTGTTCTTTTCCAAGTTCATCAAATAATGTATTTGATAGATTTAGGGATTTTGCAGTAGAAACACGTTAGTATTAATAGGTCTGTTTGGGATTAGGTAATACAGTATTGCCCACTTAAGTGTCAGGACTGGCTATGGTCGTTTAAGTGGGCACTACTGTATTATGTGATAGATACTCATCACCGTAAAACATTTAATATAGAACGACAAGAAGAAGAGTTGTCACGTAGAGTAGCTGGGATTCATCATATCTCCCAACGTATATCAAAGAGGTTGGAAGATTTATTTCGACCTCCATGCAGCATCCTCTTCTTGGGTTCTTTTTTAGAAGCTCGTGAACATGCCAAGACATTAAATCGTTGGTTACTTGTAAATATTCAAAATTCCCAAGAATTTGCCTGCCAGATCCTTAATAGAGATGTGTGGTCAAATCAGCAGATTCGAGAAATTGTAAAGGATCATTTTGTTCTGTGGCAAGTAAGTTGTATCAAAATGTTTGTACTCTAATCTTGATTATATTATAGACACTTAATGCTTATGTTTCTAAACAGGTCTTGTCAAATACCGGCGACGGAAAGCGCTACATCGATTTTTACAATGTATCAGAGTATCCCTACTTAGCAGTAATAGATCCCAGAACAGGAGAATGCATGAAAATTTATAATCATATTACTGTTGATATTTTAATATCTGCTTTAAATGATATGTTAAGTACTCATCCGTCACCAGAATGTGTAACAACTGACCCATTTAGTTCAAAAACATGGAACAATTGCACTGCAACAGCAACAAAAGAAAATCCTATGTCTAGTTCAACAATAAGTGTACGATTTCGATATGCTTCGATTAATTATAGACTTTAAAATTATGATCTTCTGTTTGCTTAAATTGTATATTTTCTTTTTAGGATTGTAGTAGTAGTAGTACTAAAACTTCCAAACATGTGATCGATAATTTAAACGACCCAGGTAAGCGGTATCTGTAAAATAACCGAATATGTTTAAAAAATATACACCTACGTGCAAGCGTTTTTCTTATAGATAGTCACAATGGCGTAACAAATGTTCAAAGTTCAACTTCAACATCAAGCTCAAGTACAAGTACAGCAATTGATGATTCTGAAAATATAAATAAAAAACGAAGAATGAATGAGTCTGACCTAAAAAAACAAAATGAGGGCATTAGTTCAAAGGTTTATATTTAGTCTGGAATTAAGAATATTAATTAATACAAATTTGTACATAATATTTTTTTTTAGGATACGTCGTGTAAACCAAAATACCAGCTGAACGAAATTAAACCTAGTAAGAAGCTTGAAGAATATTATCTAATTCTGTAGTATATTTTTATATAAATTACTTAAGACTAATTGAAACACATTTTCTTTTTACAGATAGTGAACCTATAAGTCTCTGTTTAAGATTGCCAAACGGTAACAGAGAAACATTATCAATGTATGCAGCAAATACAGTCGAAGTAGGTTTCCTGATTATATTAATAAATGTAGTATGGCACAATGAAGCACATATATCAGTTTCTATTTTCTAGGATTTTATAAATAAAATGGAAAGCTTGGGTTACGTGTCATCTGATCATAGTTACTTGGTACCATTTCCGAAAACAAATATCGGAGAACTTGCTCCGGAAATCCGTTTGTCAGACACGGTCTTGTTTCCAACAAACACAGTATTTATAACAAAGTTATAGTAATTTGTTTGGTAAGCAATTTTTCTATCAATGCATAAAATGATATTTAAAATAATAGTTTATCTTTTATTATTGCAGAACAAAATAGTGTACTGCATTTATTTTCTTTCAACTGCTAGTTGGAACATATCTTAAGTTCAAAGAATATTAACAACCTAAAAACAATAGTACATATGCACTGTCATGTGTGTTCAATTAATATTTAGGTACAATTGCAATTTCTGCACTTGTCATCGTATGGTATTACTATTACAATGTCTCTTAAATTCTTTTAAACAATGGGATTATAGCATACAATCATTGTACTTCCATAACATTATTAAATATTAATTATGACTTCGAAAATCTTTTTCACTGTTACAAATGTATTTGATATTAATATATCGATATATCGAATTTACTTTTCAGAAGGTGCCAAATAAATTATTAAAAGTATTATGTAAAGTACTAAGAATCAAAATAGCCCATTGAAATACAAGTTTATGTGTATTATTTCTATAAAAAGTTATATTAGTAGAATTAATAAATTTCATAAATCTATTAATACATCTTTTGTAGTATTTTTAATAGCTCAATATTTTTTTTCATTATGTATTTAACCCTCGAATGGCGAGCCATAAATGATTAAAACTGAGTCACAAGTAATTCATACGACTTCCTCTTCAACGCGTTTCAAGCTTCAAACTCACATTAAATTTTATTCCGTTAATATATTTTTCGTCCAATAAATATACTTATTTTCATATCTTATTAGACCTCTAAAAAGACGACCTTCTACCGTCTTTTCAGATACTGCGACGATATATTCTTCCAAGACATAAACATCGCATGATAAAATAGTATTATATGCCTTTGATTTATTTTAGATGAACGCGGATACATCCCTCCTTATTCGCGACACATTGAATACTTCAACTACTACATATGTTGAAGTAAAACATTGCTTTGCTATGAGCATTATCTGAGGTATCGTATATCAAGTAGTGAAGTGAGGCCTCAAAAATTTGGAGTAAAAGCCTTGACCGTACGAGGGTTAAATAAACGGAATGGCATCAACAAACACTGACATGTATGTGATAAACCGTGTATCGGTGATAACTACTCCTTCTATCTTATTTCAATGCAGAACATCAGAAAATTATATTTTATGTTTTTATAACAATGATTTATGTATTAACAATTCAATAGATTAAGAAACTTAATGTTCAAGTGTTTAATTTAAATAAAAATATACAAGATATTTAGACAACTATTTTGAAATAGCCATTCTTTGGAGAAATTAAAAATTTTACAAGAATAAACATTCGTTAACAACAGTTCAATTGTTGTTTATTTACATTAACGTGATGTAAAGATGATATATTAACAGGGAGAGTTACATTACAAAATATGGAACACAAGGAATGTCTGTATACTGTAACATCTGTACAAATAATACAATTGTTTATAACATTCGCATACATCATGTACATGTGCGTGCAGATGTATGATAATTCTGAAGGTAAATATCGGTTATATTTCGCAAATCAGGGTCATAACCTCAAGTAATATCATATACAATAAATATTGTTTTGTAGATGTAAAAGACTTCAGAAAAAATTGGTATATAATTTTATTACATAGTTGTCTAACTTCACTACGAAATTATTAGAGTACATAATTCTCACCGTGATATTTATTCAGGAACATTTTCTCATTAAGTTAAGGAACCACTCAATGATTATTAATAACACATATTCACTGCCCAACGATGTTATGATTTGATGCGCAAAACGGGTTACTTCTGAAGCGATCGAGTAAAAGTCAAGTCGTGTGCGTACGCAAGGCATAACCAGTTGTATTTTCTGCACAATGAAATAAAAAAAAAATAACGAAAAATTAGGCGCATTAATGCAAATTATGGTCATCAAATCTCAAAAGATAATTAGTATTACGCTAGGTACAGACGAAAAAATATTGCTTAAACATTATGTATTATTTAATATCGTTTAAATAATAATATAAAATGATGTATGTAAAATATAAGAAGTATACTCAATAAATACATAAATGGAAATAAAATATAGTACAAATGCATGAAATTTCAAAATTATACATAATATTAACAAATTTAACTAACAGCTTGAATACTTTTATTTTCTATATACCAAGATTGTACATTGTAAACTAGAAAATCATGTTAAGTACATTTTGTAACAGTTATTGATCTCAATTACTTACTGTTCTTTCTTATATGTTTCAAATTCTGTACAAAGAAAGGGGAAGCTATCCAAAACATGTTAAACATCAATATCGGAAAACTGGCACATTAATTAACTGTTATTTTTAATATTGATATATTATTTGCAATTTACTTATTAATAACTTGAGTATTATATGGAATTTCTGTCACAAACAGCATTATATAAATTATATTATTTGTATTAATTTACATTTACAATATAAGCGAGTTTGTTTAAAAAATAATACAAGCAACAACACGAAGCTGCTATGTATCCGAACACGTTTTTTTTTTATGAGAAAAGCAGAAGAATAAAATATGCAAATAGCTTTCCTGATCTGTATCGATCGGCAAAGTTAATCTTGATGACAGTATTTGAACTGCCAAGAATATATGTATATATTTATAATCAGATAAGTATATACGAAAGTACATATTTCCCTAATAATTGAAAAGTAGAAACTTATGCAAGAAATTCTTCTTTCATACCAAAATATTTTAAGAAAACACCCATTGGTGTACGCTCCAATCCAATACCCTCTATCGTGTTGGCAAGCTTATTCTTAAGATTCCTTGTTCTCAATGATGAATGTATAAAAATCACTAAAATTAAGAACAAAATGATTATAGATTAATCCAAAATAATATTCTCGCAGTTTGGTTTAGAACTTATTAGAAGAGAAAGTAAATTTTTATATAAAATTGTAGAAAACTTACCGCTGATCGACAGTAACAGGCTAAATAACAATAAAAGTATGGAAGATAGGGTGTAAAACACAAAACATAGACAAAGAACAAGAAGAATAACTTGAAGTAGCGGGTACTGTTTTTTAATTTCATACAGTATGCCATGATTTTCAGAATACACAAGAAGGCATTGGCCCCAAATCACTACCATGGCTAACAAGCCAAGTAACATTTTTGATAGATTTATTGACCTAAATAATTGGAGATACAAAATTACAATGGAATCTATAAATTTGAACAAGGCCTTTCTCGCCGATATCGCGTGTTACTTACCCCACAAGAAGTATTATGGTAATTGTCATATAAAGATAATTGGTTTGATAGTAAATAAGATTATTTACTACTCTATTGCCCCATTTCTCGAAATCTTTAAAATTGGGCAACTGGAAACGTGACGGTTCCAAAAGAAAATCGTTCAAGCTACGAAGGGGTGGCAGTTCCCAATCCTTGTTTGTCGCTTTTGTTTTATCCATAATTACGATGTTGCTTACGATTGTTAATTAAATTCTATGGCTAGATCTTATACTCTCGTGTTAGTCGTACTTAGACAATTTCGCGTCACAGTATTTTTGGATGATGACGACGACACTACGAATGTCGTGTAACGTTCACAATTACAAGCACAGATCAACGACTAAATTTAGTAATTTAAATCTAAGCACGGTTGTTAATTTAGCAAACGAACGAATACTTATTCGAATCGAAAAGCTCGCGCACTTCGAAGAGTAGTTGCTTCGAAATCGATTCGGAAGCCAATTGAGTATCTTAATGCATTTACTTATCTTCTATCAAGTAACAAAAACATCGAGGAGCAACACACGATCGCGTCATATTATCTTAGGAAATACGAACACAGCGCGCGTTTTAAAAGTCTTTTTAGTTGCATATAAATTAAGCAACAATATAACTTGATCTATCGAAACAAAGTATATAAAAGTCGATCAAAATATTGAACACCTTCGAAAAGACGATTGCCAATATTTCTGTGATTATAGGGATATTTAATATATCCTGAATTCTTTTCTGCCATTGGTGTATTTTAATTTTCATTCGTTTAAAAATATATATGTATATCACTTTGTAGTTATCCTGATCGACAAAAACATTGTGTGTCAAACTGGATAATAAGTAACATGTTTACATGTTATGTTCATATATGTAACAATTTTTATAGAAAATTGTGGTCGATAATGGTACTGCATGGTTAAAATAATTCGTGTAATGTGATTAATTCTTAGCAGTAATTAAAAATCTTATACCGAGTCAATAACATAAAAAGGCACATTAAGTTTCGTCGCATGGAACTGTGATAATAATGATTAATTGATAGCATCACACGCATCGATCCAATCGTTGTATACATCAATCGGTTCCGATAACACATTAACGGTAGTTTGATAATCTTCTAAGCAAACTCGACACGATATTCTTGCTGTATTTCGACACTTGTCCCTAAAACCACAACGAAACACCACGTACGATAATCTAGATTGGCAGGCGTCGTTTTGGAGGGAATAAAACTTACATTTTCACATCACAGGACTTCTCGTGGTTACAAAATGGACACGTAAATTGTATATCCATTGGCTCGATAGCTTTTCTTTTTTGCGGGGCCTGTCGTTTGCTCTTTCTTCGACCCATTTTCGGTACGTTTTGGACAGTTTCAGCTTCCAGAAATGTAACCGTTACAGCGATTTGAATCTGTCGCGCATGGGTCTACAAAAACAACTGTATTTGCATTTCTATCGATGTTGGTTGTTTCAATTCGATAATTATTGGAAAAATTACTGTCAAACGATTCGCGGCATCCAAAGTTATTCTTCTTTACGAACGAACTTGCACAAATAATAGTGTGAACTTCAGAATGATTTCCCTCTAATGTGAACAAGGGACTACGACCGTTAATACCCTAGAGGATATTTATCGAACGATCGTAATATGATCAAACGTAAACGATCGTGCTATTGTTCCGATTCACGACTCATTTTCCCCATTAGAACGTTCCGTAAAACTATTATTATTGCCCATTTGAAATAATTTCTTATAAATTCTACTATAACAATACTTGGGAAGAAATAATAATTTAGAATTGAAAGAAAGGTTCATAATAACAGTACGCATTACTTGTCAGAGATGACATTTAATATATATATATACATATATACATATGTATATATATATGTATATATTTGTATAGTAAAAGTTGGTAATTATAATGAAAATCTTTGATGCAAAATTAAAATCAAGTATAATACAAATTGGTCTAAAAGAATGTCAAGCATGGAAATAAGGAGATTTCATGGTTTAATATTATATCGTTATGATTTATTTTTTATGCAATTAAATATTAATGACACGTGATAATTTTTGCACCCTATTTAACAGCAAGTCTCCCTGTTTGACCATGGCTTGATATTGCCAATTTTTGCTATCCGGTCTATTGGTTTCAACTATTCCACCAACGCGATCAACTTTACAATGTAATCTTCCTGCTGCAATGAAACGCGATACTTCCCTGTAGAAAATAACATAAAAAATTAATAAGCATCGTATCTACGAATTAGCAATTAACGAAGAAGGTACGAAGCTTACTGATCAATGTACTCTACTGTAACACCAAAAGCTTCGGCCATGTATTGTAGCGTCAGAGACCTGTAAGATTCCAGTAGTTGCGTGTACGCGAGAATGCGCATTTCTCTGACATAGTATCGGTAATGAGGGAATATTAAGTAATCCCTACGTAATAAACCTTCGACGTGAGCTAGAAACGTATTAATACATCGTTATATGTTCTATAGAAAAATTTTCTTGCTTAAAGAAAATTTCTTAGTACCGAGATTCTTGAAAAAATCGGCGTAGTGGCAGTTGTACAAAGAAAACAAGTAATCCTTGACATCCGAATTGCTGTGAAGTACTTCCAAAATTTCAGAACCTTTGATAATTTTATCTCTAAGTTCATTTCTAGGTAAACTTATCATGCTCAAATATACTGTGTATCTGACAAATGTATTGTAATCCATTAGCTCGTAGCTTGTGAATGTACTAATTGTATCCAAAAAGAAATTTGCAGCTTCTTTGAAATCTCTGACTGCTATACAGTATGTTCCTTGATATACTTTCAAACGATTTCTTCTATCCCAATCACCACCCTCTTCTATCAAACTGAAATAGAAATATCGATATCTTCTGTTCCTGGTATACAGAACTATTTAGCAAACAACGTTACTTCTAAACATTTTTATACCTTTTGGCCTTTTCTATGTTTCTTGTAATATGATCATGATCCAAGTAAAACAATCCAATCCTAATATTATGAAATACAATGTCTAGTCTATGCCCCAAAGATACAGTTTTATCATAAGTTTTTCTAAATGCAGAGATTGCGCCTTCTTTATCCCCTATTCTGCAAAGGTGTTCAGATTTCTTAAGATTAGCTTCACGAACTTCCATCTCTCCTAGGTTCTTATCAGCATCCTCGATCGCATCATCCAATACTTTTAATTGCTCTACATTGCGAGCTTTCATCGTAGATAAAAGGTTATCATCAATTTTCCAATCCAAATCTTTGCATACTTCTTCATAAAATGGTGCCATATCTATAAACAAATTATTAGATTTTCGTAATTTTCCTAACATATTCCTCCGTCTCCTCATTTTAATAGGTAACAAGAACATAATACAAAATAGATCAATATTATGATGTTACAAGGAAAATTACGATAGTAACAGCAATAGATTTATTAATAGTAAGTGAGAAAATTAATAATGTTTACTTGCGAATATAAAATCCAAACCATACAGTATATTCGATTATGAAGAGGTTAGAATAAATGTCACAGTGGAATAATTTTTAATTTTATCGTACGCAAACGTTTTAAATAAACTTGAAACATCAAACATTGACAAATTACGCTCGAAAATTTCTTCGATATTTAATTTATCGATGTAATTAATTTCACTAAAAAAGATGCAATCTCACTTTCTGCTTTAATGGCATCTAGGAGTTTATTCTTTAAGAAAGGATCGTCTTTGTGTTCCGGTAGGCTTAATAAAAATTTTGTTTGAGCCAACTCTAAATTTGGATTTTTCTCCAAACTTTGTTCTTCTAAAATCTCAAACGGCATTATAAACTGTTATTATAATTATAACTATCGATAAAAACAATGAACCGACACTTTGTACTTTGCAAAGCATGGACTAAACGAACTCTAGATCAGGCTGTCCACTCATGGAATCCCATAAACGATTTTCTTTCCCTCTGCATGACGTATTGTGTATAATTGGCTTGTGACATACGCAGCGGCCAATGGCTCGATACCGAATTTAAAAATACTTGTTTGCACTAACTTATATGCGGCCGCGTTGTAACGTCCGATTGGCAGAAAGCGGGTTGGACGTGTAAGCTGACGTCGCTGATTGGCGACGATTACAGTGAAATTTACGCTACGATGGGCAATGATTAAAAGCATTAAATACGTCAAAAACTCCATGGCTTGCTTGTTCGAGCTGTTCCAAATGGGAAAAAACTTTGATTCAACTCGATGGATATTAATGTAATTTACAAGGATCGATCACCGGCTGAATATTTCATGCAACTTGCATCCACCAATCGCAATGCTTAGTTTTATACCATCGACTCTTCGACTTCGACAGCGGCGCCCTTAGAAATACATAGTCACATATGAAACATTTGTGAGGTAACGTTTCTTTCATGCTCCATTGAAAGATAAAGTATCTGTCGACCACTGCAATATACATATTAGCTTGTAATCTGATTCTACTATCATCTCGTGAAATCACGAAAATTTGAATCCAGGAATTTTTCAGGGAACCACCAAAACCTGTGCCACCTCCTCGGATATTATATTCTCCCGATACAAGATACACTAGATGTAGCAACAGCAATAGCAGTTGTAGAAGTAAAAGTAAAAGTAGCAGCAGTACAGTTTTAATATAGTACCATTGTTCAAATTATGTTTACGTTGACAGTGATAAGTCAACTGAAAATAATTTGTGAATAAGATACGCTTGACTCCGATAACAGTCTGCTTAGTATTATTTGAACTTTAGCTTCATAACTCGTTCCCTGCATCGGTTACCGATGAATTTAATGAACAAAGTTCTCGTTAATTTTGTAATAATTCAGCGTTTAACGTGGTAATTATAAAAGCCCGAGCGAACGCTGGCACGCAAAGCGCGATGCAATATCAATGTATTGTCCCGATAATGTTCTCGGATAACAAAGTTTGGTGTCTGTTATCTGAACCTACCAAACGGATCGTCAACATAGTCGAGAACAATCCTCGGCCACCCTGACGACGATCCCGAGAAACGATCAGGTGTTTTGCGATAACATATCGCGCTTTCCTATGCATAAATTTAGAAGGAACTTTTCCTCCATGGGTCGTATCGAGGCGACGCGTGATTTTGTAAATCCTGTCCACGACTTCATTTATTTATTTTTCAGGCATCGAGTTCCGCAAACGAAGCCATCGAGGCCAAAAGAAAGAAGTTCTTTCACACCGTGGGGATCGTGTGAGCGATCGAATGTCGGTCTCTGCTTCGCGATAGAGAACGCGTCGTCGACCCAAGAATTCCAAGATGTCGTCCTGTTTAAAACAGTCGACGATCCAGGCCCACCTTATTACTATTCTATCTGCTCTCTCGCGAGCCGCCAGTCAGAAAGTTCTCCTTTATCGAATCGTTGGACAATAAGGATGGACATCCACAGCGTGGGGAATTTTATTCGATTAAAAGGGGATTCCCACTAGGAAGACGATTCTCATATTTAGGTAATTCCTGCAATTTTATTCCAACGAGAAATCTAAAGGTTAGACTGTTCCAACGCCCACGTTGATTTCTTTTTATTTCTTTTTAGTCCGACGAACCGCTGATACGGAGGTTTGGCTGTATCTTCGGCAATTTCGAATACAGATATTCGCATTTAATTTGTTTAACGTTCTTGCAGGAGCCCCTATCGCCGTGCTGCTATCATCAAACGTGATCAACGCGAACGGAATCGAAGCGAGAACCGTCCAAAGCTCTCCGCGCTGCCTATCCTGTCACCTACACCCTTTATCGCATTTCCGGGCAGTATTATGTCTAGGGCACTCGCACGAGATGTAAACAAATACTCCATATCTCGAACTGTCATCGGCCACTTCGGCCGGCCCGTCTTGCGTGAGCCCAGATACGCGGCTGGGACTCAGTCTGTAGATCGCGCCTCGAAATGACCGGTTCGGAGCATGTCAAACGCGATTTTCGTCCTCGTGGTCGCGTACGGTGTCGCGTTCGGGGATTCCAAACAGTTCTAAGGAATCGAAACGTGAATCATGGCGCGACGGTAACGGTTACGGACAAAAAGGACTGGTGGTTATTTTACACTGCGTCATAGAGGCCGCTGCAACGGAATCACGCGTCGCGCCATCAGTAAGCTGAGTATAAGACCTTCGAGATACGAAATTTAAAGAATTATGCTCCGTTTACTGACTGCGCGGCGCGAGATAGACATCGGTTCCATCGACTTCTGTCATCATCGGTGAGTTTCACCCGCGATCCACATGGTTCCCGCACTGACTCGACGGTTCCCATATTCTAGGATAATTTTGCCGAGCAATACGAAGGCATTATGCTAAGAATATGCGGTATCGTAAGTTTAGAATTCTTCGAGGGCATAACGATAAGTATCGACGCTCGTGGGCCCACTTTGACCCGTTTACTAAAATTTACGACCGTCTCGCGTTCTCGTTAGGGCATCGGTTCGCGTTGGCTCGATCCTGATCGACGAATTTTAGCAAAAGCTTATCGGGAGGTTATCGCTTTCGTAACGAGCGTGCAACAAAACGATGTCGCGGCGAAGATACGCGTACAGACGCGTTTCAAAGCTCGTCGCGCGTCCACGGATCAACGGATTTCGTCGGAACGATCGGTGAAAAATGCGCGTCGCGGTGGTGGGAGCTGGCATAATCGGCACGACTACCGCCCTCGCGGTGAAAACTGCTTTTCCACGACTCCAGGTGCACGTGATCGCGGACGAATTTTCCCCGGACACCACTGGCGACGGAAGTGCTGGTCTCTGGGGCCCGTACCTTCTGGCGGACACGCCGATCGATAAAATAGAGTGAGTACCTGGATCGCGAAAAGACGCAGAGGTGTTTGGAATTTTAAAAAGTAATAATTACGGAGACATTTGTCGTACGATTAGGTTTCTATTTAAATTATCTGGACACTGGCTTTCCATTTTCTTATTTGTTTCTCGGTGCAACGCGAATGGTAAACTACTAAGAAATGTATATTAATAATTACTTGAAAGATGTACGTGTCTCCATGGAGAAAATAGGTAGATATTGTTATTTGTTTCACAATTTTCGAAGGATAAAATTTAGACACAGAAGTAAAATGATTTTTTTTTAAATAATGCCCAATTACGAAACTAATAGAGAAGTAGGAAATAAATAAAAAAAAAGCCAACAACTACGCACTGTTCCCAAGCGGTCACCCATCCAAGTACTAAATGCGCCCAACGCTGCTTAACTTCGGTGATCGGACGAGAACCGGTGTTTCCCAGCGTGGTATGAGCGTTGTTGAGAATTTGCTAAACTTTTGTTGTACAAATAGTAGCAATGTTTCTAGCACCGAGTTTAAAATGTTCATAGTTCCTGGGCCGGAATTACGCATCGATGGTTGGAAACATTGTGGAAATCTGGCCTGTGCTTCGAAACAGGAGTTTCCTTGGTGCCTGCGTATCGCGTTACGTCCGATCCCAAAGGATACATCGATTCCAGCTGGACCAAATTGGTCTACGGTGCCCACCGAATGACTAGAACCGAATTGGAAAAACTAAACGAAGAACACAAGTCGAAATACACGTACGCCGTCAAGTAGTACGATTAAAGCGTTTGCATTAGGGTTTTCAATCAATTGCCACGAATCGGTAGCTTGAATTGCATGTTTCAGGGACGGTTGGATGTTCGTGACTTACACGGCCGAGCCTGTTCGTTTATTGCCGTGGCTGGCAGAAAAGTTTCTCGAAGCTGGCGGAAAATTGTTTAAAAGGAAGGTCCACGCGTTGCACGAACTGATCGACGAGGGCTACGACTTGATAATAAATTGCAGCGGTCTCGGTGCTCGGAAACTCGTCGACGATAACACGATTACGTCTGTCAGGGGTCAAGTGGCCACGGTTGGTAATCGTGGAAAATATCGTCGCGTGAATTTTTCATTTCTCGTTTCGTTTAAGGTGACAGCGTCTTGGGCGAAGCACGTGTTTCTGGTGGACGATGACGATGGGAACTACATTATTCCAAAGTAAGTCGTTCAGTGGGCTGATAGAGTCACTTTAGATAATTGTTTAAATTGTAGCATCGATCGCACGATACTGGGAGGCACTCATCAATACAATGACTACGACCGTACACCGCGAAAAGAGGATTCCACGTTCATTTACGATGGCTGTTGTCGAATTTTCCCCTCGCTGAAGGTACGATCCGTCTTTCAGCGACTCACCACTGTTGCAAACTGCTATTTCTATCAGCTATTTTGATACAGGCGACCAAAGTGTTAAAGGAGTGGGTTGGTCTTCGCCCGGGAAGACCCAGCGTTCGTCTCGAACCGGAAGTCCTCCGATCTCCTCGAGGCAAACGATTCACGGTACCGAGAAACAACTTTAAATCTGCATCGATAGCGAAATGCCTAATTAACGCGTATCTGTACAATGTTTGACAGGTGATACACAATTATGGGCACGGCGGAAGCGGCGTGACGTTGTCCTGGGGCTGCGCTATGGACGTCGTCGCGATTCTGAGGGAGAGGCGAACATTGAACTCGAATTTGTAAATGATTAAAAGGAAATAATTTAATATCTTACGCATCTTTAGGGCCATCTTTTGTATTTTATTATCGTAATATATCAGAATTTCTAACGTGTCCTTGTTTTCTTGGCAATTGCACTTGACACTCCGGTCTCGTGATTCCGTGAACAACCGCACGAACAGTTTGCGTCGTCGGGCCGGCAATTAAAGCGACGTAGGCGACTTTCAAGCTGCGTTTTACGCCGATTGTGCCGCAGTGGTATCGACGAGACCGCGTCGTAGCACGCATTCGTTCGATATTCCACCAGAAACGAGACTCAAAATTCGATCGAACATCGGATTCGACTTGCTTCTCCCTCGCGAAATGGAAAAACAATCGAGGGAAAGGCGCACGGTGAGTTATTTCGAGAAACCGAGTGAAATTAGCGCCGTCCCGGTTTTCGGGTTTTCGCGTGTCGCAGTAAATTGACCGCAATCCGATTACACTTTTTAACCAAAGGACCGTTCCTTCTACACCAATTACTTCCAAGTAAAATTCACGGATCGAAGTATAATGCATTTGGCTCTAGACCTGGGATAAAAAAATTGATAACGCGCGACGACCGAATCGCCGAAAATAATGAGATACGACGGTCATGAACGTCGTCAAGCGCAGCAACAAACATACTTTGATGACAGTGCGCGAGCCCGAGGTCGTTGACACGAAGAAAAGCCTGGTGAACGAGACATCCAGCGAGTCCGACTCCAGCAACGACGTAAGATCCTGCAAAACCGTTTACAGAAACCAATCGAAGAAGTTCGTCGCGTCCGACACCTCCTCGACCGTCGTCCCGTTTCTCGATTCCACCAAAAATGATCGGAAACCGGTCGTCTGCAAACGTCTAACGAACAGAAGGGACGAGAAAGGTATCGTTCCGAGTTGTGATAAACATTACAACTCCGATCGAATTAAATAGTATTCGTTACTGCAAAAATACGTAATGTCGTGAGGGGAATTAATTTGATAGCGGACCTTTCGTTCCTGGACACCGACGGGGAATCGCGGAAGGAGAACACGGACGAATCGTCGACGAAGACGAGGAAGAAAAAGAAACGAAGGTAAACAGTTGATCAAATTTGATATCTCCTAACGAAGTATCCAAAAGCGTAGTGATATGACCCGTATACGGGTCATGGACAGTGAGCTAGTTAGTAACAATGTTTGCTTTTCCACGTTTAAAAGATATTTAACGATATGCACGAGCAACTGCAAATACGAGGTGGTGAGGCGCGTCGCGGCGCGTTTCGGGATGAAGGAGGTGACGGAGGACAGCAGCTGGAACCTCTACTGGACGGACCTCAGCGTGAGCGTGGAACGTGCAAAGGACATGAAGAGGTTCCAAAAGGTGAATCATTTCCCGGGGATGACGGAGATCTGCCGGAAGGATCTGCTCGCGCGAAACTTGAACCGCATGCTGAAACTGTTCCCGAAGGATTACAATTTCTTCCCGAAGACCTGGTGCTTCCCCGCCGAGTAAGCAAACCTACGTTCGATCCCGTACGAACCGTTTCTTGTACGATCATGGCATTTTTCAGCCACGGGGAAGCCATAGCCTACGCGAAGCTTAGACGCTCGAAAACGTTCATCGTCAAGCCGGACACGGGGTGTCAGGGACGCGGAATCTACCTAACGAGGAATCTGAAGGACGTCAAGCCTACCGAGCGCATGATCTGCCAAGTGTACGTGGCCAGGGTATGGGAATTTTAACGTTAAATGGTCGTTCGTTCCTATCGGAGCCCCTTTGGGACCGCGAGACAAATTTCCAGGAATTTATTACGACGAAAGGGGTTTAGCAAAGAAGATGAAACCGTGATTGGTCCACGCGTTTCTCAACCCCGTAAATTTTAATTTATTTTACGAATGTTATATTTGTACAGCCTTTCCTGGTGGATGGCTACAAGTTCGATCTTCGGATCTATGCACTGATCACCTCGTGCGACCCTCTCAGAGTTTACGTGCACAACGATGGCCTGGCGAGGTAACGGTCATTGTTTCTATGTCATCCCTTGTATCTATCCAGAATCTATGTATTTATTTTCTACTCCAGGTTTGCCACGAGCAGGTACAAGGAACCCACGGGCCACAACACATCCAACGTGTTTATGCACTTGACGAACTATGCCGTCAACAAGCATAGTCGAATGTACGTAATCGACGACGAAACTGGCAGCAAGAGGTGAGACATTTTTAACAAGATTCAAGGGGGAAAAAGGTCTGCGTTACGAGACTCCCTCGTTTGCTTTACTATGCAGGAAGATATCGACCCTGAACAAGTGGTTGATACTGAAGAACGTCGACGTGGACGAGCTCTGGCGCAAGATCGACGAGATCATAATAAAAACGATCCTGGCGGCGTATCCTATTCTCAAGCACAGCTACCATACATGCTTCCCCACCCACGACAAAACGTACGCGTGTTTCGAGCTGCTGGGCTTCGACGTTCTGATCGATTGGAAACTGAAGCCGTATCTCCTGGAGGTGACCGTCGATCATCGACAAGAATCAATTGTACTATTATTGGCATATTAATTTCTCAGGTTAATCACTCGCCGAGCTTCCACACGGACGCGCAAATCGACAAGGATATAAAGGAGAGCCTGCTGATGGACACGTTCGAGATGCTGAACCTGCAACAGTGCGACAAGAAAAAGATTATGGACGAGGATCGGAAGCGGGTCAGAGATCGATTGCTCCAAGGAGTGACTTCCAAGGATGGCAGGTAAATTCTCGATGACTGTTCGTTTTAAAAAGGTATTAATTCGTAGCGTTTGTTTGGATCAAGTTCGAACGATTCGACGATCGGTACGACGAAGCTCGATAAACCGGAGGATTATCTGCAGAGGCAATTTAAATGGGAGGAGGAACACATGGGGAACTTCCGTAAAATCTATCCGTGCATCGACAGCGAAAAGTACCAGCCGTTCTTCAAGCAGAACAGCATTTCCGTGTTCCAAGACACGGTGGCGTCGAGAGCGCGGGAAGAAGCCTCGAGGATCCAGAAGGAGGAGATCGAGGTGGGTATTCTACGTCGAGGGTATCTGTCACGGACAGATCGATCGAAATACTAGTTCCTTCGAGAACAGAAACGCTCGGAATCCCCCAACTAAAACCGTTTAATCTTCCAACATGGGCCACAGTGCCAACACCAATCGTTGCATCGTTTCAAGTGTCATTTCACTTGTTTTTTTTTAATAATATTTTACCACTTCCCGACGCTCTGATAATTTAATGGATCGTCAATGGTTTACAGACGAAGATCAAAGAACAGGAGAGCAAAAAGATTTCAGGGAAATGGAGCGACTCGAAGATACATCCGGAGAGCCCAAACCCTGCGCCCAGGTCCACGCTCAGCAACCAAGAGAGGAATAAATCTACAACCGCGTTGAAGAAACGCTCATTCTCTACGAGTGTCAGTTATCTCGAAATTGGAGAAGCCTGTAGTCCAAGTCTTTTTACAATTGCAGATACACCGTTCCATTTATGGAAAAATCAAAATTAGACCCAACCGTACCATTCAACATTCCCCTCTACAAATTCTTTCTATCTCTCCTCGCTGCTCTGCATTTTGTTCTTCCGTCCGTCCTTTTTCATCGAAACAATTGCTTCCCGTTCTATGTAAAACCATGAAAAGTAACAAGTTTTCACACGCCAGGAACGTTTTATAAATTCTGGTTTCGTGTAATTACATTTGTCGCGTCCGGATGAAAAGACCGCCTCGTTCGCGTTTAAAAAGAAATCGCGGTTCGTCGAGTAGGTAGGTTTTCACGTTTCCACGTATAATAGCACTCGGCGAGGGCGTCGGGCGTCGGCTGTCTGTACAAACATAATAAACAATTGTACAGAATGCTGTCATTAATTTCTCACCGCTTTTCCATACAGTTTTTGATATAAAAAATTAAAAATTGTATTCCTCGCAAACGGAAGGGAAGTGTGCTACTTTTCGAAGTCTACATTTGTAACAAATAGATGGATAAAAATACTTGGACTACAGTTTGAGGTTCTCTTAAATAACCGATCGATTTTTAACATTTTTTAGACGAAGAAGCAGATCGCGATTTCCGCGGCGAACACTTTGTACTCCTTCGAGCCGGAAATCATTTGCGAGTCCGAGGAAAGGGAACGCGTCACGTCGTTGGCTCAGAGGGATTTTCTGATCAAGAGCTACGGAATATTGGAGCAGATTTACATGGCGATGAAGAGGAACGGCACGTTGCGTGCCATCGACGAGAAGAAATACGGACTGTACGGGAAGCTCGGTTACCCGGAAAACGAGAGCAAAAGCGCGAACGCATGCAGATCCAAGTGTCATCGTCATCATCAGGCCGCGGTCGAATCCAATCACTCGTCGCAGTGTTGCCTGAAAGCAAGTAAAGTATTTGATCACGACAAGGCCAGATTTCTACGATATCCGTCTATTCATCGTGGATTATTTTGTTTCGTGATTGCCTAACGGATGAAAAGGTTTTTACGTTTTAGCAGATTTCCAAGTGACGTGCAGCGAGGCGCCGGTTTACGTTCGCCCGAAGATACCGGAAAAATTCTGGCTGGACGAGTTGAATTCGAACGATCGCGACGGACGGATCACCAAAACTCACGTGGCCCGCACCCTCTCGAACATCGTGCGCCTCCACACCCTCGAGAAACGGAGCGAGCTCAATCTCTCCAAGTTTTAGTCGAACAGACGTATCTGTACGTAATTTTGAAAATTATTCTAGCGTTTATAGTCAACGACGGTTCGATAGAACGAACGCTTCTGTGAATAGTAAATGTTCAAACTGTTACACGCGTTAAACTTCGCTTAACGGATATGTACATTCATCGAGGAGAATAAACGCTTTGTAGAAATGTTCGACTTTGCTTTAGAAAACCGAATAGAATTTATCGATGCTCCTTTATGATCAATGTGTCGATAAATATTGATAAATATTCGGTTCCGTGAGGGGGTTGCAACCCCCCGCTGTGGAAAATAATGATGTGTAGCAAGGTATACACAAGAACAATATAAAAACCAACATGGTATGGATTTGTTATTTAAAGTGCCATATAAATATGTACAATGAGTGAACATGTACACGCCGCAGAAAAAACGAGAATAATTTCGCACCGAAATAGTGAGATACGCACGCAGATCTGCAATGTGTGTAACAATTTCTTTTTATTGCTGAATAATATATATTCAGTGATCACATGATAGAAAATAATCTATGAACAGTTCGTCCTGTATACCATCGGCAGCTGAAAGAAATTCTCTGCAAAGCACCACTCGGTTCGAATGATTCTGTTCACGATATGTAGAGTCCGCCATTTTTTAGAAGATTCCAAAACCACGAAACAAAAGATATTAACACCTTTTTTATTTTTCAGAGCGAAAATTCGATCCGGATAAAATTACTAATTGGAAATAAGTCGAGATATTTTTCATATCGTTGGTTTAAAAAGTTCGAATGCGAGGGGAGGAAAATTCGAGAATTTCCATATACCGGTGATTATTCGTGACTCGACCCGACAGAATCAGGTTAATGACGTTCCAACAATTGGAAGCCTCGCGTCTACCATGTTTCTGTGTTGAATGGACAGAATCAATTGAACCTGGTATATCCTCAGAGGGATTATTCTCCAGCTGCCAATGATAATTTCCAATAATGACACCGCGTTCGCATCGCTTCCTCTACCAGTGTTCGACATTGATATCGATTCGCGTACCTGCTCGTGCGATCTCCATTTTCCTCTTCGGCTCCCCGATTAACCCTAATCCTAGCTGGACGTGACTTTGTACCGCGCACCAAGTTCAACTAAACGGCAGGGTCGGTAAACAAATTTCTGTACCGGACATTTGATGCGTTATTAAGTTATAAAATACCCTTATTACTAAGTCGTGAGATACGTGAAGTGTAATTGCTATATAAATTTATTTACAGACTCTACGATCGCTCCAACTTGGTTCGCGGCTCGAGATCGTCTCCGTAGATTTAGGGTTGAATTTACGCGCTAAACGCCGTGTTTATACCTTGTAAATGACATATCTTTTTATTCTTTATAAGCTCGTTGCGTCGCCATGTTTGTGGTGCAAATGGAAAGACAACAGCTCGGCGTTTAACGCGTATTTCGAGAAAGTAACGACGACGCGTTAGAAATCGACGGTCGAGTAATCGCGGCACATTAATCGAACGCTCGTACAACACTCTGAAGCGTTAAAATTAATAATGGATATAAGTCAGTTGCCAGTAACAAACGTCGATCTCGTACAAAGTAATGATACAACGACGACGACGACGATAGCGATAATAATAATAATAGTAATAAAACAATGCGTCCAAATCGCGCGTTTCAAGTTTTCCTCGGAACGAGGGGGGGAGAAGAAGTGAAAAATCACGCGATCCAACGTCCTCTGTCTATCAAAATAAAAACGTGAAAGAAATGGCGCGATAGTTCGCGCGTTACCGATTCGCGGATACGATACAAACGATATTTACAAGTCGCACCATAGCGATTCGCGGCACGCCAGTGCATTTCCGCGCCATTTCGTTACCAGAGTCGAATAATAAAAAAGTTTGATAAAAATCGGAAAAGGATACTCCGCGAACAGTTGATCGTTAACATGGTATCGTGCAAGAGGTTTTCATCTTTGCGAGATCGTCGTGATTTGGTAACAGAGGGTAAACGTTTCCGGTTCTTCATAGCTGAAATACGAGTCGATCGAATTTGAAGGTGGTACAATGAGACAAAGATTCAGACACATATCAAATGCATTTGCTTCGAAACAAATTGTACAGGGATTAAGCTACCGTTAAACATAATAAGTCTAAGAACCTTTCTTTTTTTTTTTCTTTTTGCGTTTGCAAGAAGAACGGAGTCGTAGCGTTTCGTTTCTTTTTATTTTGTTTAAATCTTTTAGGCGTGCGTCGTGTTTCGGCGAGCAGATCACGATTTCGTTCGTAAACGGTACAACTTGCACACGTGAACTCTGAAAAAGTAGACGCTATTAATAACTACTTAAATTACGATTCGCTCGTTTGTACTAGAAAACGCCTATCCGCGATCATCCGAGTCTCCAGCATCGTTCGTGTATACACACCTACCGTCCAACCCCCACGCCGAATAACATATTTTTGTTCCGTTTCGTTTGCTTAATCCCTTGCATTCTCGTGTACATAATTTTTCGTAGTAGAGAAAAAGAAGAAAAAAAAAAAAAAAAAAAAAAAAGAAAGCAACGTTAACAACTTCCAGCGTGACCTTTCTCCCACACGACAATGACAAAACATAGAACGAAGATACGTGAAGATGGTACTCTATTCGTTGTAATACTAATATGAGCATTATGTAGTTATAGGATCCTGTGTTTATGTTACGCGCGTGTAATATTCGTTAAAAAGGATTACAGTAAAACAAGCTTAAAACGTGGATTACACGGAGAGAAACTCCGGGTGAAAGGGTCGCGGAAGTAACTAGTTGCTTCTACGGCTAATAGGAGAAACTAGTTACATCCGTGCTACTCCGAAAGTTTGCGAAATCAGTCCTCCGTTTAATGCACGCGTCGAATAGTAAAATGATAACTAGCTATATTTCGTATATAAAAAAAATTATACAATCCGTAAACTCGTTTAATTTTGCGTTAGCTGCCGACGGAATTTTAATTTCATCCTTTCCCCTTCCCATTTTCTGTCCTCTACCCGCGTTAATTGTTTTTTTTTAAGTCGATAATACTCAGTTCTTTCGCGATGTACGTATTTTTTTTTTTTTTTTCTTTTTATTTCGTTCGCATCATCGATGCCAAATGAATTCGAACTCGATGAAAAGAGGGCGTGTATGCGGATGTACGTACGCGTGTGTTCGTGTGTGTATGTGTGTGCACAGAGATTTCGTTACTGTAAACTAAATACGACACTCCATTCGGTATATTTACGAAGTATCTTGAGCTTAAATTTATATTCGTACGAATCCTGTTATCGTCGAGTTACGAGAAACACTATCGAGAGAAAAGAAAAAAAAACATGGGCCTACAAATGATACAAGTGCGTCGCTCGGTTTTCGAAAATCGACGATTCGATTTGCCTTGCGCCTCCAAGGCATCGTTCCGCGCGCTAGTTGGTATTGTAAAATCAGTCCAGCGCGTAATCTGCATAGAATTTATCGTTTAAACCTTCGCACTTCTACTTACGAGAACGTAACCGGTCCATTTATCGCGTGACTTTATTTACATTTAATAAAGGACCCTGCAAAATTATCAGTCAAACGAATTCTTGTTATGTTTTCTTTGTTTGCTTGCTTGTTTTTCTGAATACATGGAGAACCATACACAAGATTAACGAAAACTCGTCGATCGTGCGTGTCGAATTAGTTAACAGCATAAACCATGGCAAGAAACGATATACGGACTTCCGGTCGAGAAGAAAAAAACTCTCCCTTACGGCGAAAGTCTTCGCATCGATCTTCGCAAATAGATAGAAATATTTCTATACATGCTGTATTAAAACTTCTATTTACATTTTGAATATATTCTAAACTATAAGACTAACATATTTCGAAAGTATATAACTGACCATGGTTTATACCAAAATACTTGAAATATAAAAATACAAGAATTGCAGCACTTTCATTTGTAACATTTGGGAGCAAAAAAACAACGTTTGAGGATGGTATCCTCGAAAATGGCGGCGATTCTCGTTTACTTCGCGCCTCGGTTCAATTACTCAAACGTGTTTTTTTTACGCGCCCAAAATACTTGGGTGATAATTTAATTATACGAAGTGGGGTTAGGAATTTTCCGATGTTTCGACACTCGATGGTAGATATGAACATTTACATTAAAATGTCGCGTTATGAGAACGATTTACATTGTCTGAAGTTCATTATACTTTGTCCTTAAATAATTAGATGTGCATTCGCGGTACTCTCTCGCGAAAGTATCGCTTAGATCCTTTGGATTTCTTTAATTAACATGACGAGCCTGGTGACAAATGGTGAAGACATAAATAAAAATTATTTATAAAATAACACACGTTGTTAATTACTTGTGGATATCAATTATAGTTTATCAGGAACGTTCACCCGATTCTAAACGAAACAAACAGACCGCACTCAGATCACCTCCAATTACTGTGTATTTTCAGCAGCTTTTATCGTCAATCATATATATAATATATATATATATGTATATTTTGTTTATTTTATACATACGATTATCCTTTAGTTTCGAATTAAATGCAATTAGCAGTAAGAAATCGAACGAGGTTCTTCGACGTTTATATACTTTTTAATATCCTTCATCTTTTAATTTTCAATTTTCTTTAAAAAACGCGTATGCCTCCTGGACTTATTTTTTAATATGTTTGACGTTATAATGGCAACAGAAAACAAACCGGCGATTTAAAAAACTCTCAAGTTCAAGTCATAAATAAATGTTCAAACGGACGAATCCACTTGCCATGAACAGACTCAAAAATTTAATTTAACTTTCGAACATATGTTGCTCCTACCATCTCATTCATCGATACGGCTTATAATGATACCCTAATATTTCAACAAGTTAAAGCTAAGATATTAACAAACAGCGCATGTTTATATTATATGCACGATTTCGCCCGTGCATTAGTGTATGCCGTACGTGAATACGTGTGTGCAATCGCACGCGCATATGTGCGTGTACAAGGTGTAAACGCTAACAAAGAGTCACTCGTGCGTCGCATATACGACGTGTCAAGAAGTGTTATGGTTTAAATTTAACCAAAGGTATGTTTTTCGACTGCAAGCACTTATCACACACCCATTCCGCGTAAACTTCTGCCGTTAGTAATTGATAAGCGGTTTCCGATAATCCTGTGCATCCCCTGCAATCAATTTTGATAATGCCATAGTAATCACGCAACATGTACGCGAACGAAATGCCGACGGAATCGTAAGTTTCAGCTTACCTGTGAAACCAAAAATTACAACCAGACTCACAAAGAATCGCTTGATCGTTATCGTGCACTTCTTTGTGACAAACTCCGCACGGATAAATGGGCGGTGCGTTAGGATTTTGTGGATTAAATACCATCGGTTGATCCGGGGGATATATCTATAACGACGTTAGAACGATGTCAATTTGTTTGTTAAGGTTCGGCATCGTACGTATTATGTACTATAAATACGACAAATCTACCTTTCCCGCAGAAACTGGCATTGGTTTTGGTCCCATTCCCGGTGGGCCTTGAAAACCGTGAGGTGGCATCGAACCCCCCAGATTGATGGGATGACCCATGGGTGGGCCACCACCCATATTGCTGGACATTGAACCCATAGGACCACCCATGTGGGTCATTTGATTATGATGGTTGATACTCATATTAGACATATTGTTCATCGGCGGTCCGCCCATGTTCATATTACTTATCTGATTTGGACCACTCATATTCATATTATTTGATACCATGGAACTCATAGTAGTCATAGGTCCGTTCATGGGCCTACCTAAATTATTTAAATTATTCCCCATGTGATTCGGATGCGGTTGAGACCCATTGTGCCCCAATGGACTGTTTACACTGTTCATAGACGGTCCGTTTAACGGACTATTAGGTGGTATGTGGCTATTAATATTATTCATATTCATTGGTCCATTAGGCATATGATTGGACCCTCCCATTGTATTCATAGGAGATCCCAATGGTCCGCCCATAGGGCTTCCCATACTATGTCCCATGTTATTCATGGGACTGCCCATGGGACCACTGTTCATGTTATTCATTGGACTGCCCATTGGCGGGCCGCTAAGTTGAGAATTACCCATGTGACTCATGTTCATATGATTGTTCATAGTGTTCATTGGGCCAGGCGGCATATTCGGGCCCATGTTATTCATGGGACTCATGCCGCCTATAGGCGCGTGATTCATAGGGGACATTGCTCCCATGTGATTCATGTGATTCGTCATGGGAGAGTTCCCCATTGGACTCATACTACCCATGTTGTGGGGCATCATAGGACTCATTCCGCCTATAGAAGTTAACGGACTCATGCCTCTCATGGGTGGTCCAGCCATATGATGAGGATGGTGTGGATGCATGTGAGGTGGTCCACCGTGCATCATCGGGCTTTGCGTAGTTTGCGGCGGCGTATCGTCAAAAGGGTTACTCGCCACGATCGTATCTCCATATCCCGTTAAAGGCGGCGGTAATAGATCCTGGAAATATATTTTTTATAAATAACACGTAGAACGGAATTTAACAAATTTCATTTGGAGTCAATTCCAATTACCTGCACTGTTGGAGGTTGCTGTGGTGGTGGCTGAGCAACATTTGCATTTGTACGTCTTTTCTTTTTAGGATTTGCACCGGCAGGTGGTGGTGGTGGAGGATGGGGGTGAGCAGATGATTCGGGATGTGGGGCACTAGGTCCCATGTTCACACCCATACCCATACCCCCCAAAGGCATCCTTGCAAAGGGTGGCATGCCTGCAATATTGTGGCTCATCTCCTTCGTTCTCTTCCTTTATTTTAACATGCCGTATCAGCACCACAATGGATTTAGGTGGCAAGTGTCTATTGCTGCTCCACTGTTGTTTACAAACAAAGAAACATTTTCTCTGCATATTTGCAAAACGTTTGTAATACGTTTAATATGCACTAACAAGCTATATATACACTCGGCAGAGGAACACAGTTTACCAATACCAACAAGGTGTGGAGTAGATACTTGAACAGTACGAGAGTTACACATCGTTTGTGCATTCCATTGTTATTATTATTATTTCTTGGGATGTATTTATAATCTTACATTTGTAATTGTATACGCGTAAACGAACAGATACGCGATTGGAAGTTGCTATATTTGTGTATGTAAATATAAATAAGGGATATTTCAGTGTGTTCTTACGAAATAACGATCGTTCGTGTGAAAGTGATACACAATTCTGAATAACAGAACGTCCGATGCGATAAAGGTAACGCAAAAAAAATAGGTAACCCCTTGAAAAGAGAGCAAAATAAAATCCGCCGATGCCAGTTTCTCAGACCAACCTAACCTACACATTTTTCCAAACCATCTACCTATGCTCGTCGGTGGATAATACGGGGTGTTAGGTTGAAAAGAAGCGTAATATTAAGAGAGAAAAACGATTCGCCCGCTTACCAGCGCATTATAGTTGGCAAGATATCGATGCATACATGGCTTTCCCGTTTTTTCGGCAGGGACCAACACCATTGAATTATGTCGTGCGCCTAGCTAGCTTTAACGGCTGGATCCACGCGATTCCTCGTTTCTCGCGCTTCCACTTTACCAGTCACATATTTTATCGCGGCACGAACGTATTTCACATTCAAGAACGCGCGAAAAGCACACGGTAAACACTGGCGAGATGTCAAAAGTATACGTATCAAGGAAACGCACGCCAGTCTTTCAGGTCGCCATTGTCGCGTTACGCGTGTCCCTGTAGTTGTATTGTTCGCGTTAGGGAATTGCACGGTGCATCGTGCAGATGACGCTACCGTCTGCATTCCTAAAACCTCCGAACGACCGACACGTTAGGGCAGCTTTGTAATATAGCTACGGTCGCTTGCATTCTTCCCAAAGGCATTTTATTGGTTATCGATATCGCGGTTTATGAATCACGTTCACGTAATAATAAAATTTCGATAAAGTTTTTTTTTTTAAAACGTTTCAATCTTGGCCGCATAGAGGTTGCTCTATTCTAGGCCGCAAGTGCAACTGTATTTTCAACGAAACTAGCAAAAATAATTACGCTCGTACGGATTGTACGTACAAAATTTTGTCGCGTACAGTACGACTACAATTTATCGTATTGTACGTACGCGTGCACGAAAAGAGTTGCTCGCATGGTTAATTACAAAGGGGAACATTTTCAATTGGCGGGCCAAGTTAGGCAACAGAAGTTCACCTAAGATAGAGCAGTTTAGTTTAGAACATACGTTACTTAGACGGGACTATTACGTGCGACTGAAATTCTCTCTCGTTCTCCGTCTCCCTTTTGGCAGTTCTGCGTGTTATATCTTCCATTCGCATTAGGATCCAGGAGTTGTCTCTGTAACCTCAGAGTAGGGTCTGTACACGTCACTTTAATTATTTGAGTTACATTAGCAAGTTAGTACGGTTTAACATCTGGAAAATGGGTTTCGCGCAATATCTACTGCGGACAGTTGCTTCGTATCTACTTGTAATACAGTTCGCAAACCTATGATTAAGTTTGCCTTATCTTCGCAGAGTTTTAGTTCGATAGTGATTCCCGAGGACAAGAGGACGTCGTCGACGAACGTGTATGTAATAACATTTTTCGAATAAAAAAACCTTCATAACGAAAGGTTAACAAATTTAATGGATGAACGAGGTTAAAAAATTATTCTGCAGCTTCGTCGATTCCATTAATCGTCCGACAATTTAAAATTCATTTCTATCGAGAGCAGTTTTCCAAAATGGCGGACATAGTCCTTAGGGAGCGGAACTGCGAAGTACAATTTTATAATTTTATAATTAATAGTATATTGCGCGAAAAAAACCTTTTTATATTGCGTTTTTGGTGCTCTGTAAATAATGAATGAATATTTGTTTTACAGTAAATGTTCAAAATGGTGCCTACCGAGTCGTCTTGAAACAAATACATACGAATCGAAAATGCAAGAGTTCTTTTATTACGTGCAAAGCAATTGGCTTTGAAAACGTCTGGAGCGTGTGCACCCGATCGATTAACAAACTTTTAAGCCTCCAACTTTTAATTACAACAACGTTTCCGACATATTTGCTAGGAAAACAGTGTACTGGTTATAAATTACTACTTCCATATATTACGTTTCAGAGTCAACCAGTGATTTATTACTTCATAATTAATTTTGTAATTGATTACGAAAAGCAATTATGATAATTATAATCGCCAATCGAGCAATCGTATTGAAATAAAAATATACGTATGTTCCGTAATTATATCTATGTTTAATAGATTGATATACGTATCGTTAACTCCTTGACACGATCATAATAAAAAATGCAATAATTTTGCGATTAACGTTCACCGAGCTTCGATTAGGAGGATTTATTAATCGTGTCTACCGATTACCATAACCATAATAACCATAACCATTAATCACCGGTTACACGGTAATCGTAATCGTTGATTATTAACGAGGTTACGTTTTATCGAACACTGGTACACACAAGCATGATAGACATCCGTAATTAGGTCCATTGAATCAAGCCTTATCGTTCGTTAAGTACGCGTCTATTTAACCCAGACCTAACCGAGACCAGGCCATTGAAATTTATCAGTCCCAAGACAGAAGGGACATTAATAGTCGCATTAGCAACTAGCCCGGGCGCTCCTAAAGTTTGGGCGTTAAGGTAGTTTAATGTAACATCATAATCGGGGTACCTTTCTGTCCATCTCAAACTTGGAAGAGACAAAGACCGTAGAGCAAAGAAAATTTACGTATCTCGAAATAACCGTGGAGCCCGAAAGAATCGAAAGTATGGTCCTCGTGACCTGGTCGTGAGCTTTGTACGTGGGACAGGACGCGACGAACGAGAAAAAAGGAAGACGATGGCGAAGGAAACAGGAGCGCAACACGCAGGAGGAGGACGAAGGACAAAGGACTGGAATTCCGTCGCGTCGACGAGATGTGGCAATCGAAGAACAATGCAAATGCGTTCCACAAACGCTGGTATTTCCCAAACAAACACGACGCGTCAACCAATCCGCCGCGGGAACGTGATCCGCATAAGGACGAGCGATTTGCGCGAATTATAAAAATACGGAGTCACCGATGACTATTTTATGAGAGCCGATCGATAAATAACGTTCAATTTTTGCAGTGGACAACGGATATTCGATGGAAAATACTACTCCTGATGGATAGCGTTGCTTCAATCCGTAGTTATCTTGAACGGACCTTTGGAAATTATCGTACGATCGACCGTGAAGCAACGGCTGCGAGGAAAATTATTATTAGAAGCACTAACGCATCGCATTTGTAAGATATGCAGGTCGTTGCTCGTCCCATATGCAGAAAAATTGATAGAAAGCTCGCTGAGACGCTGCCAAGCCATAAATCGTTAATGGAGGTGACTGGACCCATTATCGAACAAGTGCATAATAACTTTAGAAATGTACAAAGTGTTTCATAGCAGGTGGTATCTACTTGAAGCAACTGTTTGTCCTATTTTCTGGGTTTTAGCTACTTTTGTACTCGAGATGGCCACCTTATAAGTACAAGGGATAAGAGGACACAGCCGAGTGGACCCGCTGGAATGAAATATTAAAAGTGTCCCGCGACCAGCAGAGAGCTAAAGCGGCAGATTAATTTTCTAAGAAACATGGCGGCCACGCTGTCGTGCGACAGTCATGGAGCGAGTTTTCCTCGGGTCTCTACGTGCCTACGTGCGTCGCGTTGCGTGTCCGCGGGTCCGATGGAACACTGCTAGAGAGAAACCATCCTTGACCCGGCGTGCTCGAGCATCAGTCGGGAACCGATCGCGTGTCCCCGCGTCGTAGAAAATTTACATTACACGTTTCCCGCGAACGGAGAAACTAATCGAGCCGTTTCAAGATCGGGAGATCTGGGTCTCGGGCTGTTGAGCAACGCTTTTCAAATTTAGATACGAGAAATTCATTTTGGCCCGATCGCCAACACGGTCAAATCGTTTAAGCACACCGACGCCATATTGGAAGCGAACAAGCAGATGATGTATCTATTTATTTAGTTTTAACCGCGGTGTGCAAAAGATATACATTATTTTGATTATACCGAATACTTTCAGTTCGTAAACGTAGATCGATCGACAGAGCACGTCGAATTCAGGAATCGCCATCAACTGCGTATTTAGGTGACACGATTTTCATCCATCGCCTCGGATGTTCCGCAATAAAACGGGCACACGATCGAACGAAATTACACTGGCGGTTGTTGAAACTGACAGGAACAAGGCGAGCTGGAACGATTTTTACGCGTTATCGCTCCGCGTGAGTGTTCATCGGTTGCATTCTATCCGACCCCGAAAGCGCGGCAAAAACGCAGTTTTCGAGCGATTCCGATCGATCCCCGGCGTCGAAAGCCGCGCGAGAAATCGAACCCCGGTTGCGCAACCAATGCAACCAGTTGAATTCGTCGCCCCAGCGTTCCGGGCCACGCGATCTTACGCCATTTACGATTAAGGCACGTTTGCATCGTTACGACACTCTGGTGGGTTCGGTGGGAAAAACAATCGTAATTTTAAAGAGTGAAAGATTCGGTATACGCATAGATCTATTTTAGTACAATTTGCGATCGATTTTCGATGGCGGGTCAAGGATCTAATTTATGGCATCTTTGCAAGATCGTTCCATCTCTGTCGATGAAACGTTAGCCACGGGAGACCACGGAAGCCCTCATTCTTCGCGATGATTCTCGTTTCTCCGCGAGCGTTTCAAGTGTTATTCAACCGGTGGAAAACATCTTTCACGCACGAACGGCCACGCTCCGCGTTCGGATCGTTTCTGCGGCTGTTCCCGGGGCGAACGGTACCGCTAGAACCTCGCGGTGTAAACGTACCCTTAGGCCGTCGTCGGCTTCTTATCGCGCCTTATCCTCGAGGTGAACGGCCGAGCGGATCGTTTCCAGGAAACCGGCGCTACTCCGTGTCCATTCAACAACGGCGAATCCGCCTTTTCCTACTTTCTCCCGTGTAAGCGCGAGCGTTCGACGGAGCGTAACGCGTTCTCGTGAACTTTCACCTTGGGATTTCCAGTTTGGCCGGGCTGGTAATCACGTCGAAAACGTTGAATCGGTGCAACCTAGCCAGGGAGAGCTACGAATCCTACGGCAGCCGGTATTCTTCTTCGCTTAATTTCATTAGCTCCCGGCTCCGCTCCGACCCGTTGAACGCGTTAACGACCGAAGACGTATATATTGTTAAAGTTTTTGCGCGCCGACGTCCGAACGACCTAAATTTTCAATTCCCGGCAACAACCTCCCCCGGGAGTTTTATTGGCCGGGAAGTTGCCGCGTCGCTGGTCGGTCCAATTTCCCCCCCTCGCCTCTCTCTGCCCATTATTATGTAATTAGTATTTTGGGAATCGCGGGGGTGGACCGTTTGATCGAATCTTGCACGACACGTAGGACGAGGCTGATTCACGCGTATCCGCTCGAAACGAGATTAATATCAACGCGTTAACAGCCCGTGTCTGCGTTTCCACGCATCGTCTCGATGTTTGCTCAAACTAAAAGGAATTAATTCCAAAGGCCTTTGCTTCATAGCAATCTGTAACCCTGAAACATCATTAGACAATCGTCCCTTTGGTCTCCGGTGTAATCTTTAAAATATTTAATGCGAACGCTGCTCCGTATGACCAATTATTACCTTTACACGAATTAAACTTAACTGGCAATTTAATTCGTAACGACGGTCGCGAAGAAAACGACGTCGCGACGTCCCCGTCCATAATTAAAAGCCGGCGGAACGAGAAAAAGCGACGGAACAGCGGCGCGCACAAAGTTGCTGCAATTTCATTGACATTAACGTAATTAAGGGATCGTCGTCCGTTAGTTGAATTTTTCGAGAGAGTCCCGTACCCGCGAAAAAAGGACCGGGAACACGACTGATCCTTTTCCGCCTCGAAATTCAAGCGGCTTAACTTCTTCGGTTTTACCCCTGCGGGGCGGATTTGTTTGACGATTAAGGGCGAGTTTTGCGAGCGACGATTTCGAAAACCGTGTTCTTGGGAATCCGGGAACGAATTTCGGCCCGCTTTCGACCGCGGCTGACAAAACATTCCGTGGCACACTGCGAGCCGTTCCAAATCGCTGGACCGGTTTCCCATTGTTGGGAGAAAGAAGGATCGATCCTCGCAGGATTTGCGAGACGTATTGGATCAGACGTTTTAATCAGCGCTCGCGATCAAATTTCGACCAATTTCCCTCGCCGAACAAGGAACAAAAATTTTCGACTCGCTCGCAAACCAGCCTTGCTCGACGTCGGGTCACAAAACTCGTTAATTCCGTTGAACGTTCCAGCTAAAAGATACGGGAAAAGACAACGAGCGGAAAATGTTATTTTTGGTTAAAATGTCTCGATGGAATGCGTTGGAAAGGTGGGTGTTTATTAAATGATTAAAATAAATCTCTATAAAGTTTTTATCACTGTAAAAATTTGTGACTTTCAGGATTGTTTCTGGAGCAAATCTCAAAGTGAAACGGTTCAGCCACGATTAAAAGTAAAACGGGAAGAAAGAAATGGGAGCGTGGATAGCAATAGCTCTAAAATAGGAGTAGACGGTGCCAAGAATCAGTCTTTCTTAGCCCCGGTGATCCCCAGCGACTCATTTTCTCATGCGTCATCCGCGCCAGATTCCCTCCCTTTAACCAGCGTCGGATTTTTCTTCGTTTCCCGTAATGGCGTTCGTTGTCCCCGAGCCTTTCGGGACGCATTTCCGGTTACGTCTTATCGTCGTAGGCGTACGAGAGTCGAAAGAGTAAAGGACTCATTAAGGTTTTAAACGGTCTGGCGCGAAACGGGCCAGATAAACCACATCGCGAGGTGAAATCAACCGTCGAGGAATCGCGCGACGTGACCAAGAGGACAATGAGCCATATCAATCCTTTATTTCTCTCCCCACTCCCCCCCCGGCTACCATCGGTAGACGAATTCGTTCCGTTCGAACGATCGAATCGCCTCGAAAACGATCGGCTATTCAAACGGCTCTCGACAACGAATCGCTGGAAAAGGGGAAAAAAAGTAGAAAGGAACGAGGCCAATGACAGAGAGTTGTAGTTCGGGATGAAAAAGGAAAAGGAGGAAAATAAAAAATAGAGGAGTAAAAATAGCGGGGGCGTGGGGACGATCGGTCAACGCATCGACGAGGAATTCCCTTGACGCCGCAAAAGCTTCGAGCTGCCGGTACGAAAGTAGATCGACGAATCCCAGCCCTTGTAATCTTTATCGATACAAGGCACGATTTTTCCATCGGTCGTTTCATTTCGTTTCGGGGCACAGAGTCGGACTTTCGTCCCCTCCCCCCACCACCCTTCATCGTTTCTCTCTCCCTCTACGGGAACAGTTTAATCGTATTTCACGGCAGATCACCTTGCCACCCTTTTTGCTATTTTGTTTCGTTTCACAGCAATTCCGGGAGACTGGCACCGTCGCGAACAGGCACACACGTTCGCGAGGACACGCCGGAATCGTCAGCCGTCGACCGCCCATTAAATCCGCGGCCTGATCGAAATTCCGCTTCCCCCCTCCCACCGGTTGTCGGTGGCGGTTTATTCCGTCGATTCCGAGGGGAAAACCGACCTGGAGGAACCCGCCAAGAGACGACGGATCACGCGACGGAGAAACGTCGCTTTTCTCAGCGTCGTATCGCTTTCGTTATCCGCCCCTTTCGCGTAAACAACCTCGTTTTCCCGCCGCGAAGAATAAATATCGCCTCGACCGCGCCTGAACCCGGAAATGCAACGTATCGCGGTCATCCGGAAAAGATAAACAATTCCAAAGACGGGCTTGAGCGTGTATTTAACTTTCTTTGGGAGTTTTTTTGCGAGGGAACACGCGTTCGAGTAATATTCTGAAATCTTTTGGGTCGAAGGAAGTCAAAATTGGTGGCGCGGGATCGCTCGAAACGCGGTTACTCGCCTCGCTGAAAGTCCAAACGTTGGGAGCAGTTGTGTTTCCAAGAATGCAAAAAGGAACAAAATCGGCGAACGAACGAGTGCTAATAGCGAGCCGCGCCATTATTTCGGTCACTGTTCCGCGGCGGGAAAGAGAGAAAATTCCCGAATTGAAGGGAATGTGGCACAACGAGCGAGTAGAATGTGCCGTCGCTGTAATTTTGCCTTAGAAAGTCTGACTATGACGTCTGACCCAACACGACTCGCACGGAAGTTCTTTCTTTCCCAGCTGTAATCTACCTGCTGTACGCTGTACTTATACGCGGAGCTTGTACATAATAAATAACAATAATTAATTGTTGTATTCCACGTCGAAGAGAAGTTTCTTGCGATACGTATCGATCGAGGTGCGAAACTTGGGCGAACTTACGTGTTCTAAAATTAATCGCGGGAGTACCTTTTAATCACCTAACTGTTAGTTTAACGAGATAGTATCGGATCCAGCTAAAAACTGTGTACCCGCAAGCACCTGTGTGCATAACTTTCTTATCTAAAATAAATTGTAAGCAACCGATGTTACACCTCGTAACACCTCGGCTACAAGAATCGATTCTATACGAATAATGCAGAGAAATTTTGTGTCACGTTTCAAGATGTTAACCTGTGTTTTAATATAACACCCTATCAATTTCACGTCCATCTTGGTTTAGTTCCGGTGAATGGATTATCGATCCTCCCTGTCAGTTCTTGTCACGAAAAGCCTAAGGGTGAAAGATGGGTGACCTCGGGGACCAAACATTTTCAAACATTTCAGACAGTAAACGCAGGTGATTTTACAATTTTCAGAGGACTTTTGCCCTCTCGAGTTATTCGTAAAACAGATTTGTTTATAAGAAACTGCTATAGTGTTTATGGGTCCAAAGAGCTCCTTTAAAGTTCCGCAAAAATGCTCTAAGAAGGTGCATCGGTGCAGCGACCCGTTTTCCCTCGTGTCGGTTTTATTCTCACCGGTAGCAATCGTTCGGACACAACGCGATAGATAAGGCTCATCGATCGAGCGCCGCCCGCCGAAACGCGTCATTAGCCGCCGTCTTGATCGTTCTCGATCGCCCTATAAAACTCATCCGTTTCGCTAGACCAACCATTTGTTTCGCGCGTACATTCGATCACCTTCTAGTAACAAAGCAGTCATAAAAAATCTAAACCAACAAGGTGATCCGTGGATCCCGATCTTGAATAGGAAATAGAAAACGGTGTATCGAGCCTCCTTTATCGGGACTTAATTTATCCAATTGACGAGTACCGTCTGCCCAGAAAGTGTTTCATGGAGCAACCGAGGAGTCCGTTCCCTGTTGCAGGGCAACGGTTAGTCGGAAAGGAGGTTAAACGATCGCCAAGAGAGCGTCCAGGACGCGGTAGGATTCGTCGAGAAGAATCGGGCAGGTCGTTGTACAACGAAAGTGCAACGGCGCGAATGAAATTTCGCGAGCGAGCGAAGGGGAGTAAAAGTGCAACCTGCACGGCGCACACTCACGCACGTCCTCCGGTTCCCCCTACCTTCCTGGCGGGCATAGAGAGGCGTCTGGAGACGGAGAACCGACGGTATATATCATCACGTCCTCGTCGTCGTCCGCCACACACACTTTCGTATTTATCGGCTACGAAGAAGGGGAGGAAAAGGCCACGGGCGTACCTTCTGGCCAGTGCGTTCCGAGATTTCGCGGCGAGAGGACACCCGGACACCAGGTTTACACGGTACCCTTCGACAGATTCGAACCCCCCCGCGGACGCGGTTCCACCTTTGTTCGTGTTTTTCGCCGGATTGCTCGAGGAGGAGCGCGTGTTCCCAGGAACCGGCGCACACCGACGACTCTCGACATGGCTTCGACGATCAAGGTGAGTGACGAACGTGCAACAGGTGAGGATACACACGCAACGCTCCGTGTGTACACGTACGCGCGGTGATTTAAAGTTTCCGAGTATCCCGAGGGTTGAGCGCACCCTGTCTCCCATCGCTTTTCCACCCTCTGGCGCTACGTGGCTTCCGGGGGGACCTCGCGAACCCCCCGAATTCTTACGCCGTTGGACGTTTAGGAAAATAGCGTTCGACGGGGGGGTACCTGTAGCTTTTTCCCCGGATCGGCGATCGTTCTCCGCTTAAACGGCTCAATTATCGCGGTAATCTCTCGCGCGGGGATTTCGGCTTATCGGCCATCGATAGCCCTCCAACTGGCTACGGAGCGATAATTAACCCCGGGGGCGTTCCATTTTTCACTCGCCCCGTTGTTATTGAATATGTAAAAGCTGTCGGTCAAAATTACGATCCGTGGTTTTCGTATTCCACCAGATGAATCTTACCAAATGGAATTTACTATCGCGAGATTCAATTTCTGAAGCAACATCGACCCGGACTGTTGACGCAACAAATATTTTTCCCGGCGGAGCAAGAGATCCAAATATTACTCTTTACGAAAGATAAATATTAGGAAACAAACTGAGCTTTAATGGAGCTTTGATAACTGAAGGGATTGTTTCTTTCCTCGTAGTTAATAACTGAACGCAAGCGTACAGAGTGTCTTCATAAGTGCAAGAATATATTAAAAAGAATTGTAAGATCCTCGAATTGCTGGTCAACCATCTTGGATACCGATTTTATTTCAGGTCTTAACGATTCCGATTCCAAACACTAGAGAGAAAGCATATACAGTTAATGATAGGAAAATCTTTTCAAGCGTAATCTGTTACTTTTAGAAAAGGCTATTCTATATGTTTTATTTGAGAGACTCTCGATTGTACGATCGGTTGCAGGATACTCTATAAAAAATGCAACTATTGAATTCGCTATCTACAGAAACGAGCAAGTTATTTAATCTCGACTTGCTTCGGTGTTGGGAGAAGGTGATGATCGAATGCTGGGGTGTCTGGAGGATCTAGAAGACGAGATAGAATTTCCCACGCGTTACTTTGACGCGAAACTACCGACGCGCGAATCGTCAAGCCCTTGGAGTTTGTCGACTACCGTCAGGTTCATCTGGAATCCATTTCCTCGGTTTGCACACTTTTCCCAAATCGCTCGCGTTATACTTTTCCGCGAGCTTCGCGTAGACTGTGTGATCTCAAACTCAAATGCAAATTAAAAACGCAATAGAATCTTGTTTTGGTCGAAGGAGGCCACCTACTTTGCGTTTAATGACTTTTGAAAGAATAAATACTTGGACGAAGAAATGATCGATGGCATTCGTCGCTTTTTTTTAACCACTTTTGCGCGACGCCATTGTATCCATTTAAAACGACCGTACATATTGTACGAGCCACCTGTGCGGTATTTGCCCCAAGATTAGAATCGTACAGCAAACACGCTACTGTATGAATCATGCTGCGCTCACATATTGTTCCATAAGCGTTCCGAAGGTACGTTGAGTTATTCCAATAAGTACATTAATATTTTACGAGCATCGTAAAGAGTTAATATCGTTTCCAAAAGCGTTCTCACCGGCTCCGCGACAAAATTTAAACGTTCTTCTTTCGCATCAAGGTTGACGCTAACGTAAACGTTACGCTAAACGAGTACTCCAGTTTCACAATCGTTCGGAGCCCCAGTAATCGACCGTCACACGCCAAACGTTATTTTGCAACGCGATCGAAAGTGCTGCGATATCGTGAGCGGAACCTCCCGCCGGTCGCTTTCAAGTTACACTCTTGCTTATCGGTCGTACTCGCTGAAATTTTCAATTTTTATCAATCACATCTTTCATTGTACGAGTAGAGGGTGAGAATATCCTGCAAACAAAGCGTTTAAAACACGTTTCAGATCGGTCCGTACACTCTCGATGTTAGTGATACATGTCAGGAACACAGGGGTCACATTAAAATGCTGTAACTTCGCGAAAAAAAATCGTAGCGACTCGATTTTTTTTTTAAATTGAAGGGGAAGGTTTATAGTTTGAGGTACCGCAAATGGCTTATAAGGGAAAAATTCTTGCGAGTCCCTAGAGGGCGCCAAACTTTGCAACTTTTGGGCACTGTATTTAAGGTCTGAGTTTGCGTGACTGCTCTGGTCAGGGCAAATAGAATAGTATTTTAATATGTACGCCAAGGGGTTAAGCACAGTCGAAAGAAGCTGGCTCCCGTTCGAAATCCTCGCGATATTAAAGAGCCAATAAACGTCGGGAGGCAAAGAATTCTTAGCGATATCATCGAATGGAAGGCACCGGGGACGAGGCAGCCAATCTTCCGATGAAATTGTATGCATTCCGTGAGCAGTCTCCGAGCGTGTTCATTTTCGGAGTCGCGCGTAATAGAGGAGATCGAGGCCGTTATGGAGGGATCGATCGATTCCGTATTTTCTTGTCCGTCAGCCGCGAGAAGAAGTTATAAAATTCTGGCACGTAGCACGGCTCCACTCGAACGACCGAGACAGAGCCTTTATCGACGGTGTCGCAACGTCATAACTCATGCGTGCCGCAATCGTACGCTTACGTGTACGGCACAGAGACGACGGGCTGCGTGGAATAACAAACCAAACGGAATGATTTCTTGGCTGTTCGTTCGCGACTACCAAACCGCGAGACGCGACTCGAACGAAGCCTCGTAAAAGAGAATCGCTAATTGCGAGTTCACGAGCGTACGTCTCGTCCCGATCGCGAATAATTAGGGGCAACCCTGGCCTTGATTAGCGCCTCGACCGCAGCGATTGTTCGTCCAAGGGAACGTCCGCCACGTTTGATCGAATTTTACCAGGGAAAAACAGAAATAATTCAGCTATTGCGTTCCTAATGACCACTGATTGTTTAACAATCTGCTCGATGTTTCAAAGGAACGCGAGCTCGGAGCGTGGGTGGATCTTGTTATGCAAGGTGGTCGGCCATCCCTGGAAAAAATTTTAATAGGCGATTCTAGAGGCCCAAATAAGGCGAATATCAAGGATACTAATTTGTTGATTGAGGCTTCGTTAAAAAGTTATAGAAACATTTCTGGCCACACAGTATATTTTCGGTAACGAATTTTTTTCTCAAAAATGCATAGGAATTCGAGGGTATGTGCATTCACCAAAAATGATTGTAATTGACCCCCGGAAACGAAAATAATTTTTCTTGAACGATTTGAAATTTTTTATTTTCGTTGAAAATTTCACACCTATTCGAATTTTTTTCTCGTAAGTGGGTAGGATTTCGGGGGTATGTCTAATGACCAAAAATAATTGTAACTAACCCCTGGAACCGAAAATAATTTTTTTCGAAGGATTTGAAATTTTTTATTTTCGTCGAAAATTTCACATCTATTCGAATTTTTTTCTCGAAAGTGCGAAGGATTTCGAGGGTATGTGTATTCACCAAAAATGATTGTAATTGACCCCTGGAACTGAAAATAATTTTTTTTTAACGATTTGAAATTTTTTATTTTCGTTGAAAATTTCACACCTACTCGAATTTTTTTCTCGAAAGTGGGTAGGATTTCGAGGGTATGTGCATTCACCAAAAATATTTGTAATTAACCCCTGGAAAAGCAAATAATTTTTTCAGAACGATTTGAAATTTTTTATTTTCGTCGAAAACTTCACACCTAATCGAATTTTTTTCTCGAAAGTGGGTAGGATTTCGAGGGTATGTGCATTCACCAAAAATATTTGTAATTAACCCCTGGAAACGCAAATAATTTTTTCAGAACGATTTGAAGAATTTTTTATTCGCCGAAAAATTTCAGCACCTAACCCTGGCGATTTTTCTTAAAAATTCGTCTTTCATTTTTAATAACCTTGTATCACGCGCTATGGAAATTTTGTTTAATACTTTTTTGTAGGTGTCCATGAGCTCTATTTCAGAAAAAAGTTTCATTGAAATATATTGATTATTATAGAAGTTATGGCTGTTTGAAAATTGGACTACTTTTCTGGAGGTTTTCTCAGTTTACGAGGTTAAAGAACAACTTTCCGAATATTTTTGGAATTTCTACATATTCTCCATGAAAATACGCGTTGTTTGCCTTTTTAAACATTAAAATCGTCCAATCCGTTCAGGAGTTATGGTGTTTTGAAGATACAGATGACATTTCGGGGAACGATTTCTGGCCTGAAATTAGATTTTCGGTAAGGAATTTTTTTCTCGAAAATGCGTAGGAATTCGGGGGTATGTGTATTCACCAAAAATGGTTGTATTTAACCCTAGAACCTAGAAATAATTTTTTTAGAACGCTTTGAAAAATTTTTTTTCCCAAAAAACAATTCCAGCATCTATTGCAATTTTTTTCTCGAAAGTGGGTACGATTCCGGGGATATGTGTATTCACCAAAAATGATTGTGATCGATCTCCGCGACGAAAAATAATTTTTTCAGAATGATTTGAAATTTTTTAATTTAATTTTTTATCGAATGTATTATCGAATATATCTTTTTAAAAAAGAGGTTTCCACCGTCTTTGAAACAACACGAAAGAGAACAGAGTAACGATTATTTTATACAGGGGTTGAACTATATTAACATCATTTTACACGGACGGTCAGTATTTTGTATGTATTGAAAGTTAATTAAAACTATGGGTATGCTTATTAAGTTTATGTACAGGCCAGCGTAGAAAGCTGTTTACAAAACAGAACCATAAAGCGTAAATCCTTTCGGGAACAAAGAGTACTCTGCTTCCCCGGGGAAATAACTGTAATTAGTATAATTTATTGCTAAACTTAGTTTTAAAAGAGAGGGAAAGGAGAACGAGAACTTAATCGTAAAATTACTCGAGGAGAACGGATCTGTGATTTGAGTTTTATGGTTGTGCCTGAATACGAAACTAAAATGATTGTTCAATCTCGTCGGATAAAAGAAGAAACAAATCTACATACGCAAAACATCGGCTCGATTGGAAGAGCAAAGTAACAAGAATCTTAATTAATAATTTCAAATATTCTTCGAATTGTTAGATGCGTGGAACTATTTGCGATAATGTCTTTGGATTTTTCCTCGCTATACTTATTTATAACTTTTCCTTTTTCTCTGTCGTTCAACTCCTACGGACGATCACCTTGAGGAGCATTTATCACATTTTCTTTGCCAGTGGAACGATTAATCACACTCTGCGCTATGAAGCGACTTTCATTAACTATTTTTGCCCGTAGGTCAATAACAATTTCCTCCATCGAACAGATACAAGTTTTTATTATTGCTTTGCCTCCCATTCTGGTTTCTATCAAATACGACGCGAAAACCATAACGACGACAAATAAACATGGCAATAAACGCCAGATAGTTTCCAAACATAAAATACGCGACGACAGTTAAGAATTTAGTGTACCATTTTAAAAAGGACAGTAAATTTTCCACGCGTTAATGTTGTCGTTCGAATAAAAACAGTTCCGAATGTATATTTTACTATCGTCGAAACAACTAACATTCGTTGTTTATGGCACACTCAAATCGTACATTGTCAACTATATTTTACGCGAAACTCGTCGCCAATATTTTCCTTTTGTCACCGTGTTCGGGATGAATATTCCAAGGGCTTTGGACGGACGACAGATCCGCTGATGCATTAATGAAATTAAATTAAACTCTAACACTTGGCGCGCCTCTCTATAACTTTCTCTCAAAGACACTCGTTGAAACTCTCTTTCCAAGATTCCCTCGCTACAACTCTCTCCTCGATCCGTTCCATTCTTTGAAACCAAAATCTCTACGTACGTTCCACGACCTGTTTCAGACAGGATGGCGGGAGGCTAATCATGCGAGGCAGCACACGTTGTTAGCGTGAAGTGCTGCTACGAAACTGGCCTAATTCCCGCTGTTCGCTCGAAAATTATACTCTCGCCACTCGTTATCGAACGTAAGAGCACTTTCACAGGAGCAAATGGAAGAATCTTCGTACTGAAAGTTGCCTTGCAACTAGCGAGGTTGATAACCGCGTATCGAAGCGAAAAAATCTTTATTTTTAATTTTTTATACGCTGGGGCAGTGTTTCTTAACATTTTTAAGCTCGCAAAATATCTCAAGTACTTCATATTTATAAAGAAACCGCTGGGAGGTCGATATCGGTCGATTCGATCGATCGGTTTCCTTTAGCGCGCGCCAAGTCGTGATCCGTAGATCGAGAGATCGATATCGATGTCGATAAGCGATAATCGAAACGATTGTAAATTAATTTAATAACAAGAACGGGTCTCGAGCCGAGCAAGCAGCAGGGCGGGAACAATAAATTGTTATTTATCGTCGGTTGTGCTGGCGGCGCGAACGACACACGCTATAACGGAATATTACGGTCGCAAATAGCACGAGTTTTCCCGGTCATCCCGTTCAACCGGTGAATTATCATTCATAGACTGTGACGATAATTAACGGGCCATACGTAGGTTTCGCGCGGAGTGCATGGTCGACAGGAACCGTCAGCGTCTAGCTCGGACGTAATAACCGAGAACGTTACGGTTACTATCGCGGCAGTCAACGTGACAGCAATAAAATCTATATCACGACCATTTGCCATTCAGAGGGGCCAATAATTCTTCTAATCCGCGTCGATTTGCGGAAGTAAGCGGTTTGCGTGCGCGTACCCGAACCCGCAATCCAATCCACAAATCATCCCCTGCGCGCGTATATACAGGCCGCCGGTGATTTACCGAACCGTACCAATTATTAGCACCCTCACCCACCGCCTCCCACCCAACGACCCACGCCCGGTGAAAATCGAAACTCCCGAACGGCTACGTGGCTGACGAGCCGAGACGCGGAACTTTCCGCGAAAAGTCGCGAGCCCCGATATAAGAGTACCTGTAATTCCCGGCCCGCGAATAATGGTTGTTTTCCAAAGTTCGATACCACCACGAACCCCCCAACGACTCGTTCGAGGGAACTTCACCCCCGATCGGATGTTCGAAATACGTCAATTTTGGCGAAGGACGCGTGGAAACGACGGCTACTTCCGGGGAAACTCGATTTCTTTTGTTCGAGAGCAGATCGGTGATTTTTAATCCTTCTCGGTTCCCAAGCAGATTTTCGAGGGAAACTTCTTAATTTTTCTATTCGTAACGGAGTAACTCGGTGGTTCTTAATCTTTTTAAGTTCACGGTGCTGTTTGAAAGAAGCCTTGCAGCCCCTTTGGTCTTGCTGCACGAGGGAGAAAGAACTTGGCACAGTTTTTAATCTTTTATAATTATGGTTGATCAACCTACGCCGTGCTAGCAACAGGGCGTTTATTATTCAACGCGTTTCGGTAGCTATTTTCTAACTGATTAAATCGCCAACGGAGAATATTAACATGTGATGAAGATCGGTTAGAAAATGATCGAATATGGAACAGGGTTGGGGAAAGAACATTGTACCATCGCGATCGAAACAAAAAAATATTCGCTAAAAATCGCAAACGCCGCGAGTCCGTGGTCTTCTCGGCAATTTCGAAAAAATCAAAATCGTGACATCCATTTTTCCGCGGGAACGGATGGTTTTGAGTTCACAGAAAAAGCACCTTTGACCATCGTTCCGGGATTTTCGATCGTTGCGCAATGGCGGCGAGGAACCGCGTGTCCTGGATCGCGAAGCGAGCAATTTAGAAACGAGCACGATCGTTAGAAAGGAACGCGATGGCGTCGAGAGGCGTACAGCGCGACGAAAATAAAATTCAACTTCGAAACATCAGTCACGGGTGTACGTCAAAAGGAACAAAATACAGGATTCGTGTCACGCGCGCACACACACCCGCCCTGAAAGTATGTCCATACGTCAAGCGGCTACGATTTTTAATTGGAACTATTTTCTATACATCCGTTGTACCTCCAACGAGCCGAACGTATTTCATACATTTTCCCCAACAACGAGTGGCCAATCCTGTGACTTTGACGGCGGAAGTCAAGATCCTCGCAAAAAAGGGTCGCGCCAACGCATTGCGAACCTTTGTAGAGATAGATTCGTCCGTTGGGGATGATTTAACAGTCGGCCGGGTCGGTAACTCAACTAATACGCGTTGCTTTCGCTTTGTAATTCTTCAAATTTCATTCCGTCTCCGGGGGGGAAAAATTCGAGCAATTCGCTCCATCAGGATTTTTCAATACAGAAAGAATCCGTGGTAATTATTTTGAAAATTTTCCCTGCACTAACATCGAAAGGATTCTACGAAGTATGTTGAAGCACCGTAGAGATAATAAACAATGGTCTTTGCACCCCGAATGGCCACCACAACAAATTTAATCAACGAAAAAATTGTAAATTACAAGGACGATTTTAATTCCCTAAAATGGCCCCGTAAAGTTGCATCGGAGCGGCTTCTATAAAAATGAATTAAACGCATCGATGGCTATCCGTATTCCGGGCGATTTTCCCGCAGCTTCCGTTCCCGGTCCAAAGAAAATATTGTATTAATCACGGTTAGGTGGACCGTACGCGGAATTGCTCGCGTAGATTTCCTTTACACGCGGACGAACTATGACTACAGATATCTACTGCAAATAAATCGAGACAGCTACCGCGAAAATACGGCCGCAACGCTCGCTAACAGGAAATGCGTACTTCTGGCGCACGACAACGACCGGCCTCGTGTTGCTTGTGTAACCCGCCAACAGATAAAGGATGTTCCACGGTGAGCTTTATCGCAATAGGTCTATAGTTTACAATTTACACCCCTTTTCCGAGGTTTATCACCGAAGAAAATAATTGTTCCATTATCTGAAAATTGTCTGACCGCGCGCGTTGGTTCCAATACGTCTCTACTTCCGTCCTAACAAGTTTCCTTGTACGAAACAAAATGACCAGAGATCCGGTGAAACAATTTCTCGATCCAAGGGTGCTCGCACCAGCCTGTTACAGCCTCGTAACCGCTAGTTCGCGCCAACCGTCGAATGAAAAAAACACGTTCGCGATCTTCCTTTGACGATCTTCCCCTCCTTTCGAGGTACGCGCGGCGTAAATCCGGACAAACCCTTAACAAGGTGTATCGTTGGATATTATTAAAGGAAGCCGCGGGAGAAGTAATTTAAAAGGTAGCTCGTTAGTTGGTCGACGCACGCGATGTATGTGACTGCAACGCGCACACGGAAACGTGTCGAAGCGGCACACCGGGCCAACGCGGGGGGAGGCAAACAAACGGAGGTCGTAGGTAACTCGCATACCGTCGTTACTCACGGTGGTTGTTGCTTGTTTAGCTATGTTAGCTTTGGCGTGCTTCGCCGGGGCTGCGTTTAGCCCCCGCGTCTCCCCTGCTAGCCTTTCCTTAACCCCTTTTCGTTATTCCACCCTACCAGTCGCGTATGTGCGCGCGATCCTTTCGACCTTTACCATTGGACGAACACCCCCACACCTCTTCCCCGAGTCTCGACGTCGACTCGCACCTGTTATCTATCCCTTTATTATATTCGCATCTAATTTCCTCTTCTCGAGAAGCGGCAGAAACTTTGGCTTCTCGTTTACCGGGCGAGCGCGGTTCGGGCAAATGGAGCAAACAGACACCAGTCTAATTTCCTTTTTAAGGCACCAGCCACGCTCCGCGCTTTACCGCGTTTCTTCCGTTTCCTGTACGCCCTGGGTCGTTCCACGGATCCTAAACCCGCCCGAATGTCTGCCGTTCCGGTCCGAAAACTCGATGCCCGACGATAGACGCGACAGATACAACCAAATGCAGCCAGAAACACCGGGGCTGCGATTTTTAGATACACCCCGTGATCTTTCCCGGCTGTGAAATATCTATCTTCTTTATTGCAGTCGTTAAAAAGAAGGATCGACGCGAGATTTCGAGACGAGCATCGTCGAGTATCGTTGACCCGCGAGTTTGGTTAATTGCCCCATGTGCAGCCCCCGTTTACCCAAAGCGAGTATTTAACCGCCTCGAACAATGTTCCAGCTGGCGTTTGTCGCCTGCACTCTGCTCGTCTGCGTGGCTGCGGCGGAATCGGAAGAAGGACAGGCTGGAAGATCGCGAGTCACCGATGATCAGCTCAACTTGGCTCTGAGCGACCCGCGTTACCTGAGGAGACAGCTCAAATGCGCCCTGGGAGAGGCGCCCTGCGACCCTGTCGGAAGACGTCTGAAAAGTAAATCCATTTCCAGACCAAAAATAAAATCCTTACCTCGCGACAATTTTAATTTTTTCCACTCCGTCAACGTGAAATATTTGGATTCAAAACAGAAGCAATTACGTCGAGAGCATAACGCGGACGAAAGGGGGCACGGCGGGAATCGGTATTCTCGTCGATTCAAAGGATAAACTGATCTCCGTTCGGAGTTAACCCCATTTTGTGGGAAACTCCGCGGCGGTCGGAGCTAGGCGAGTCATCGAATTGCTTAGATCGGATTTATACCCGTATTTCGAGGGCGCGGCGTGTTTCCTCTCGACGACTTTGCCGATAAATTTCTATAAAGTTACCAGCAGAATTCGATTTAACCCGGGCGTTGTTATCCAGGTTTAGCACCACTGGTTTTGAGAGGCTTCTGCCCGCAATGTAGCCCCGAGGAAACACGACAGATCAAGAAGGTCCTTTCACACATTCAGCGAACCTACCCGAAGGAATGGTCCAAGATAGTGCAGCAGTATGCCGGAGTCTCGTAAGACGATGCACAATGGCGACGATCGGCCGGACGACGATAAAAAGGGATGAGGAACCGCGGACCAAGGAAAACGAGGATCTGTTTAGAATAGGCCTCTGGTAGATCGTGCGTCTGGCATCGACGTTACTTGTTACGAACGAGGGATTAAAAAACGTCCTGCTCGTGCGTTCGAGGGGGCCTCGAGTCTTCGATTCCGATCCCCCTCGAACGCGTACACTCTCGTTCAGCATTGTTAACCACTGTAAACAGTATTTTATACGCCCTGCTATAATAATAATATATCATTCGATTAAGTGTACTCTTCCATACGCGGGCCCCATCGAAGGAGCACGATAAAACAATCAAATTCACAATCCTTTCGAGAGTTAATTGATTAAAGACATTCTCTAGTCTGGAACCTTACAAAATTGTCTAAACTTCCAAGAAAAATTGTCAATCTTTGAACTTTAATCATTTTTCCCCCAATTTGTCGTGCAACCAGTTTAAAGAGAAAAGTTTCGCCGTTGCAACGAGGCCCTCAAAGTTGCTGTACGATTTTTTGTTGCCGAGTTATGACGTTTTGAATGAAAAGTGTACCGCCGATATTATACGATAATATAGTTTAAATAAAGTTATCTTTAGAACTATGTGCCTGTGCATTTAATTATTCCCCAATTTCGAGGAACGGTTATTGATTCATTTGTCAGGTAATTGCTAGCGATTCGACGCGACAAATAAAAATATTAGGCACGCGTTCGAGGGCCTGGGTACGTTCGATTTAAGCTGACGAGCTTTCGGCGCTCGGTTATCGGCCTTATTCGCAGCGACGATCGAATTTTATTTGCGGAACGAGGAGAGTTACGGATGCGGCGCAAGTCTGCAACCGGGTGACGTCAGAAGCGAGGACAGTAATAACGGTGGATATGCAAGTAGTGGGAAAGTAATAAGCCGGTTTCATATTTTATATTTTATTCCCGTGACTCGGTTGGCTTCAATTTCGCTGTATTACAATAGACAGCTTTATTCCACGGTAAACTGCACGAGAACCTGTCTACGCTGGCATCGTTTTATAACGTCTGAACTCTCGACAAAACGTTTCCACGAATATTCCCCGATACCGGCCTCTTCCTGTTTAACCAACGTTCTCTGTCGTCAGTCGATGTTGAACCAAGTTTCGCTTTCTACGAGTCGACCACGAGCACGTTACGCAACGATTGCAACGTTGTGTCCCTCGCTGGCACGGCACGTGACTCGCATACGACACTGGATATGCAACTATACCATTGGAAAATGATAATTCTAATGCAAAGATAGCCGCGGAGCTCGAATCTACCGGGGACCAGAGTTTCCAATTATTTAAACGTGCCTCCATCTTTAATAATTGCCCAATTTCGCCGCAATTTCGTACGATGCAAGAGTTTGGTCATTCGAATCATCCGGAATAAAATAAAGCAACAAGTTTCATAATACGTATCGATCGTTACTGCCCGTAACTGTAGAGATTTAAAAGCAATGTTTGCATTTTGAATTTCTGTTCTTTGCTATAAAGGTATGTAAAAGATTTGAAATTCATAAGTTTTCGGATGAGACTGCTCTCTTCATTGTTAAAGGGTAAAGTTGACGCACGTCGAAGCGTACCGCGCGTTATCGCGGACCATAAACCAGCTTTATCGAGAATTAACGACAATCAACAAGTTGGTAATTATTTGCAGCATAATTAACGATACATCTCCACCAGGTTAAATTACAGTATCTCGTGACTGGGATATACATAGTTTCAACAACGGATCACGTCGAATACCTTGTAATGCTAATTCTTTCCTCCGGTCATCGTTTATATTTCATTTCGACGTCCATCCACGCTTCACACCACAATCCCGAGCCGGCCACTATATCACCGAACATATTGGAATATTATTTCCAAATTACCTTTATATTAAATTATATCGAATTAACAATTCAACATTGTCTCATTCCTTTAATTCCACGATCATCAAATTTCAAAGGATATCTGCTAATACCGTTTTTAATAAAAATCCAATGAACGCACGAAACGACCACGCATTAAGATCATCGCTTTTACTTGCCAAGTAACGTAAATTACTTCGTCAAATCGCGTGTTTTTAATCGAAATCGATTCAGCGTCGATAAAATGGTTTTACAAATTTTGTACAAGTACCAAAATATAATCTTCCTCCTATTTTTTTGTTTGTTTGAAAAGCTCTTTTTGGTAAAAGCGTGCTTTGGTACAAAGGCAGTTTCACTCGATGGGACTAGATTATCCGAGAGTGGAGGGGGTGGTTCTTTTGAGGGTCTCGATTGGGAGCAATCGGTTCAATCGGCCCAAAGTCGATCTTGTTCGGGGTCGTACCCCGAGCTTAGGGTCAAGGTTTCGTCGCCAATTTCAAACGGGATCGATTTAGAGGCGGTATCAACGCGATCCAAAGATGTAGGTCAGCTGGTCTGTTGGTCAAACGTTTGTAAACGACGGTTCCGTTGGAAGTAGAAAGTTATTTCTGTAAAAGTTGACGAGGATCCGGCACGCGAACGAAAGAGAAAGGGCTAACCGTGACGCGCGACTGCTTAATTGGATAATACCGGTGCATCGACGTCACGTTTCACTTTTTCAGGTGAAACTGAAACGACGGAGAACACCAATAAGCAAAACAACCAGCCGCGACGCTGGCAGAAAGCGGATAAACGGTCCCGCGACAACCGCCATTTTACTTTACTCTGTTTATTTCGCCTCGGGACCGACCGACCGAACAAACCGTGCAATTTTTATTCGCGAACGACGTTCAAAAATAGTCAGATCGATACGTTCGACAGAGAAGGATCGACGTACTCTGTAAAATTTAAATTGAAATTTGAAAAATGTCCCGGATTCCGACGTTTCTTGTATTATTTTACGAATAGATCCAAGCGAAGTAATTTTTAAAAGTTATCCGCGTCCGCAATGAGTTAATTGAACGTCTGTAATTGGGTCGAGGAATCTGTAATTCCGTCTCTTTTATCGTTTCCGTGTCCATTTTACAGCAGTTTAACGACCCATCGTTTCGTACTTATCGACAAGCGTCGACGAGCAAAGAATTAGGCGGAGAAAACGCGGTTGGAAATCGAGCAAATATTCCGTGCCTCGGAGATCGGCGCGATGTACATTTCGTCGAGCGTTTGTTCTTCTTGATTGACGCGCGATGATACACTTTCGTCGGCGTAGAACAAATATTGAATCACGTCGGAGGGATCCGAGAATCAATGTTTGTTTTCTCGGTACACGTTGGATGATACCGAGGGCCACAGGGATCTTATACAGGGTGTTCGATCACCCCTACGAAAAATTCTAATAGGACATTCTAGAAACCAAAATAAGAAGAGAATGAAGAATATCAATTGGTTGATCGAGGCTTCGTTAAAAAATCATTAAAAAAAAAAGTTAAAAAATTTCAAATCATTCACGGAAAAATTATTTTCAGTTGCAGGTGTCAATTACAACCATTTTTGGTCATTAGACATACCCCCGAAATCCTGCCCACTTTCGAGAAAAAAATTCGAGTAAGTGTGAAGTTTTTCGGCGAAAATAAAAAATTTCAAATCGTTCGAAAAAATTATTTTCAGTTCCGGGGGTCAATTACAATTATTTTTGGTGAATAGACATACCCCCGAAATGCTGCCCACTTTCGAGAAAAAAATTCGAGTAGGTCTGAAATTTTTTGACAAAATTAAAAAATTTCAAATCATTATAAAAAAATTATTTTCGGTTTCGGGGGATAATTACAATTATTTTTGGTGAATAGACATACCCCCGAAATCCTACCCACTTTCGAGGAAAAAATTCTTTTCCGAAAATATACTCTGGGGCCCAAAATTTTATGCGAATGTTCAAAAAATCATAACTTCTAGACGGATTGAAGGTTGTTAGTGAACTCTCAACGTTAATAACTTTTTAACGAAGCCTCAATCAACAAATTAGTATTCTTAATGTTCGTCTTATGTTGGCCTCTGGAATCTCCCATTAAAATTTTTCCCAGGGGTGGCAGAACACCCTGTACATTTGCGCATTTCCTCTACGAATTTATCGCCCATTCGCCGGTTGACTTTGTTCGCGGAGCGGTTCAAACAGCTTCGCCTGGTAAATAAGAGTTTACACGCAAAAAACGACGCCTTCTTTTTTGAATAATGGAACAACGGCGTGCCTCGCGCCTAGGATTTACGGTCCGGGATTATCATAAACGAGATTACAGAAAGTAACGTCCGGAAACTAGCGGCGATCGAAAAACGATTGCCCGCAGAAATACAGTTTTCGAGGGGGAAACACGAGCTTCCATAATCAAACGATAAACTCCATCTTTCGAGCGTGCGGACGATCAATTAAACCCCTCGTGGACTCCATGTTCGAATCGCGATTAGAATTAAAAACATTGCCGGTGAATATAAATTAAAACGCGACAGAAATAATTTCGAGAGCAGCGCGGATAACAAATGGGAAAAGGATTCTAGAGACGGGGACGTCCGTGGCTATTTGTCCAATTTTTCTCTTCTGTGCCATCGAGCTTCCGTTGTTCGTTTCGCGTGACTAAACAGCGAGAATCAGAATGTTTGTGTCGCAACCCAGACCGGGGCGAGAAACTACTGTCTTCCGAAACAAACATTCTCGAAGCGTAGGTAACTCGGTTACGTGCCAGCGTCGAAATCGTAAGAGGCTAGAACCGGAAACCGGAACCGGTACACGCTGAAACCTTTTCCACTGGCAACAGTTATCGCGTCATTTCCGTTCCCATAACTGTTTCGTGAAACTATTATAAAACCAGTTGATAGAAAGCGTAGCTAAAAACTACGGTCGTGTATAACTCTTGCCTAACTCATTCGAATTTCAAAATGTCGTCCCTTAATTTTAGTCTTTTCCTCATATTTTTATTATTCTGATAATAGAGTCTGTTCGATGGAATCTTCGATTTTCATTTTAGTTCCCTCCTTTTATCCGATGTTACGGGTTCTTATTGCGAGCGTATCTTTGGAACGCCCTTTTAACTGCAACTACGTCGGGTCTACGACTATGGGACGCGTTACCATAATACAGCGATAAAAGGTTCGTCCGCGGGTACAATTTTACAAGTGCCTCCCATGACATTGTGGAATATTTGTACGCAGGCCGTAAACGTTCACCTTTCCGGAATAACAATACACTGTCCCGAAGCACGCCATTGGTAAGCGGTTCTAGGGTCGTGCAGCTGTCCGTGATCGTTGGATCGCGACGACCCTGGTCTCCATACTTCGTTATACGATCGCGGTGAAACGACCCTACGCTCTCCACCCCCCCCCCACCCACCCCACCCCATTCTTTCGAACAGATCCACGGTGTCGTTAAAACGTTACACGGGGATCTCCGGGCAAAGTCCTCGACTTCCGTCGATACGTGGCTCATCCTGAGGGATCATCGTTTCGGGGGCTCTATCGATCGACGTCGGTACGAAAGGCCAACCCGTTTCAGTCGATCTGGAAAACAGATAAAAAGACTCACGTTAGACAGATAAATATACATACAAATTCGAGCATTCAAATAGAAACAATGTACTCCTAAATAACTCGTTCCAATAAAGTTTAAGAATTCATT